ATTAATAAGTCATGGTTTCTTGGCACCATTTAAACAGGGTTTATAAGCTGTAATTAATGGATAATAAATCATTTAATTCTTTAATTCTTTAGCTCAAGTCATAAGCCATTCATAAGAACAACTTTTAGGTTGCTTGATTGTGGAAAATCCATCTAGTTAAGGCTAGTTCTTTAACGTCGGACTGTATGACCATGATCGTCTTGAAAAGGGATACAGGACATTTTGACCAAAATCATTTTATAAACTGCTCAAACATTAAATTAACATATACAACTGCAGACTTATTCTGATATAAATGTTAATAAGCAGTTTTGGTCCAGATGTCCTGAACATAAGTGGTCCAAAAACGACAAACTTTCATGCCGGAGAAAGATTTGGCAACCTGGTCTTATTAATGGCTGATAAATGATCTATAAATAATTGATGAATCCATTAATTACAGCTTGTAAACCTTTATAAATGGTGTCTTATCAAAAAGTGGCACCAAATGTTTTATGGCCTACTATGTGAAAGCCTCGCATCACTTTCAACTGGTTTTCCCAGCTTGTTTCTACATTATATATAAATAAAGTTTTGTTACTGTAAATAAAACATATGAAACCTGTACAATCTTTTTATTTTCCTGTCACCATGGTGACTTGAGATAATGCACAGTGGTTAAGCCACAGTTATAACAGATTTGATGAAAAATGAGGACGGGACAGAAAGAAGTCATCCGGATGTTTGTCCTTGCTGGGTGGTTACCGCAGCAACAGTGGCAACAGGCCGTCATCAGACTCGGCCAGCTGCGTCAGAGGAGGAGACGGCGGTTCAACTGACGACTTCCTGTTTCTGAGAAAGCAGCAGGAGGTAGAGATGAAAGCAAAGCCGCCTCCCCTTAACTTCCTATCACCGCCTCACTCGTCTTTTACTTCTCTCTTCCATTTATCCATTTGTTTATACCCGCCCTATATACATTTATTGCTCTATTGTTTCCCTGCTATAGCTGAATGTTTATCCTTCTGTTTCAGACGGCCGCTCCTTACTCTGTAAATTTTTCTTCCTCCCACGCACTAGCACTCCCTTACCTGCCGCTACCTCTACAGGTTGGCCAATAGGCTTCCGAGGTGGGAGTTCCTATGGCAACATAACAGGTAAACAGAGGTGGAGATAAGGTACTCACACAAGGGCGTAGGTTTGGTTTCAGAAGTGAGGGGGGACGTATTGTTGACTCAAATGTATGCTAACTTCTGTATCCTTAATGCACGAACCCTACTTAAATACACATTTTGTTTGTGGTTCATTAAAAGTGTGGGATATCTTTTTGCAAGCATCTACATGGATTAGTGAATACATTCAGGGGGCAACTACAAAGAGACACAAAAATGACTACAAGTGTAAAATAACTAAAGAGAATGTGTCATTTATGTCAGTCTTATTGTATGCCGGAGAGTTGGGGGGATTTTTGCATCTGTGCCCAGGGTCCCCATTTTCAAAATCAGTTACACTGTAGATACTGAAAATAAATTATGCATGTTATAATAAACATTTTGACATCATGATCAGATATGAACTTTACCAACCTTTACCGTGCAGCACAAAAGTTTTAACACCTTGAGCCACTTTGAATTATAATAAATATTTCAGTGCAATATAATAATACAGAAATTACATATTAATCATGCTTAGAAAACTTTATCTGAAACAAAAATGTCCCAGTTCGACTAACACCTTCAGCTAAAGTAGGACAGGGCAGCATGACAATGTTTGTTACAGCTGGCCAACCTATATTTACTTTAACCCCCTATATGTTTTAGGGTCCAGTTCATTTGCCAGTGTACTTTCCCTGAACACCTGTCAACCTGTCTCTCTTTGACTTTGAACCACACCCAAATTATGATGTCAAACAGATAAAAATATCTGTTGAGGGACAAGTAGCATTGTGGTAGGATTTTAGGATAATGTCATGTGGGTTCCATTAAGTCAAATGGCAAAACAAAGCAATGTTTAAATGCACCACTCTGGCTTTTGAGAGTATCAGGCAGCTTGACACTCTCAAATTAGTAATGATGGTTTTGTGTCTTCACTACAAAGAGCACTGTGGTTTACTGTCTTTTATCTTTGTTGAAATAATTGAGTATATTTTAGGAGAATATTCATATGTAGAATAGAAATATAATGTAGATCACATTTGTTTAAAAAAAAATGTTTGCACTACCTTCAGCCCTGACTACAGTCTGCAAGTCAATCTTGGCTGTGTCTGAAGTCATCCCATTGTTCACTAATTCACTTCTTCCTATATAATAGTGAAGGAAGTATTAAAATCTTTTTCTGAAGTGAGAAAAATTGCACTACCAATATAGACATGCTTCATTGCAAGTAAAAGCCCGTAATTCATGCGGACCAAAATATACTTATCATACCAATAACAGAAAAGTCACTTCTCAATGATGTGTATTACACTTTTGATTATAATTATTTGACTCATCAATGTGTATATCATTTTAATGTTGCAGCCGGTAAAAGTTGGGTTAGTGTCAATTCCCCTTCAGTGACCAATTAAGTCTTATGTTGACAAATAATAATAATTATATATAATAATTATCATTGGTTTATTATATTTATATGTTTTATATTATTATATAAAGTTATCAAATAAATGTAGCAGAGTAAAAAGTGTTTGCTCATGAATTAAAAATGGGATAGAGGGATAAAGAGAGAAGGGAAAAGTAAAGAGTATAGAACCTGGGTAAAAGTACTTACTTTGCACCACTATCCCTATTAAATAGACACTCAATAGTTTACTCAACAGTGAGCATAAAATCGAGATTTCCAACATTTACTGCAATTTGCATCATCACTGATAGCTGTAGACACAATGGTCATTTACACGTTGCATTAGCATAAAGCATTAGACCTGGACACCAGTTTTCTGACAGTAAATGTAGTGTACTGCCCCTTCACCAAGTCTCCCACTCCTCAAAACACACACACACCTTTGCATGAACAGTTACACATGAATTTGCTCAGAAATGTGATTATGAATATGCAAATGTGCACACACCTATCCACTGTGTATTTCCTCTCTTTTCTCTCCACTCCTCATGGACCCACCCCACCCTGCAGCTGTCCAGCAGGTCAGCTCTTGCTCTGTCCTTCTTTCTCCCTCCCTGTCTGGGTCTTTGGTTCTCACCATAAAAAAAAGCATCCAATCTGGCTGAGAGAAGACATAATTGCCATTATGACTGCTGCGGCCCTGCACATCACAGTGTACTTATTGTTCCGCAGAGAAGGAGGGGGCAAATACTGTCTGCTCTGTGCAGACGCCACACAGTATTATCATAGCGTGACTACAGCTCATCCACACACACACTCACACACACACACACAACGTCTCTATCTCACTCTTTTCAGTCCTCTCAGTCTCTCTGTAATCTTTCCATTAAGCACAGAGCAAACATATGTTTCTATAGAGCTGAAAATGCATACACGGCTGCCTTTTAAAAAAAAAAATCTTTTAACTGTCAAGCCCTGGGTAAACACACTCACACAGTGCCACTGCCAATAGGAAATGATAGGAGGACTGAATGGAAAAGCAGTTTGTACCAAGACAGGAACGCCCAACTCCAGTGTGTGTGTGTGTGTGTGTGTGTGTGTGTGTGTGTGTGTGTGTGTGTGTGTGTGTGTGTGACACGTGGGGCTGAGGTTTTGGGAAAGTTGACCTTCTCCCAGTTCCAATTCCACTTCTCCAACTCTGTTTCCATAAAAGAAAAGGTCAGCATCCCACTAAAAAAAGACACGGACAACTCTAGAAAAAAAAAAAGGGGCTTCAGTGAATATACTATACACACATTTGATACAAAAACTACCTACAATTCCATTCCAAGGACGGCAAATATAACTGGGCTGTGAATATAACAGTGACTCTGTATAGAGGATATGGGAGCAGTGATTAGCCACAGGAAATATCCATTCCCACAATAGCAGACTCATGTATTGCTATGGGAAATGTCTTTATCATTGTTACTAGATTATGCGGTTGATTCTGCTGACAGCAGAAAGGGAGAGAGCTGAGAGTCCGACCTACACTGCGTGTACTCTGCCTGGGTGGGTGAAAACTGCATATCTTTGTATGAGTACGCTCTAACCACACATACATAAGTTGTGATGCTCTTATGAGCCCCTCAGGGGATTCCAGGGGAGGATATGACTGGAGGCGCACCAGACGTTCTTTAAGTTTCATAGAAGCATTCGCCTCTCTTGGATAGTAGCCCAGCAAGTTTGCCACCACTTGTGCATGTGAATGAGATGCTTACAACTGTAGTTTCTCTTCAAACTGTGGCTGCAGCAAGAAAACACAGTGCTGAGTTCTACCTTTGTGCCTTCTAATGCAACCTGCAATTCTTCTGATATAAAGTCTGTTTTTAACGATGACTAAAATGTTCACTTTCATTTCACTTCATAGAATTGTTCATTATACTGTGTGTTTTAGCATTGGGGTCATAGTTAGTGACTGGTGTTTCTAATATTCCTGCCCCCCTCAAGCATGTAAATGCAAAGGACAAAAAATTAGAAACACCTCTCAGGATGACGTGGTCCACCACAACATAATTCAATTTACACATTTCCTACAATGTCACCAATAACTTAACTTTATAAATTGTGTAAAGGCAGAAATTATGGCTGTATTGAACTGTAATGGATATATTACAGGTGTACCTAATAAAGTAGCCACTGAGTGTTGCTCTCAGTGGTACAACAAAAGCAACACTTGCTTTAGTTACTCTTAGCCTTTTTGTACTTTGTGCAACTGAGGATCTTTAATATTCTAAATATTATTTTTCATCACAGGACAGCAGTGCCCTGGTAATGCAATCCTTTATATCCTTTTATACAACAAAGATCACCAACATAGTCATGTGAAATGAAGTGTCACATGATGGACCCCTTGTGGCCTTCTCACACACACTTAGAGCACAAAGACTATTTGTAATTGTCCACATAGACCCCATGAAATACAGGAAATGATTACTGAAAGATTTATTATCATCATTCCATATCATCATCTTTCATCCTGGAACAGTAACAGTAAGATTGAGATAATATAAAATCTGAGAAGCAATAAGGTAATATTCAAGTGATGCAACTGCCACAGCTGAACTGGAATAAATTAACACCCCCCCCCCACCACCACCACCACATACACACGCATACACACACAGAGACAGACACACACTCCCAGCTAAAACCTGATGCATTCTCTGCAGTGTCTCTGGTGCATGCTATAGCATGCTACACATGCGATTTCAGCTGTCAGGATAGAGAGAAAAAAAACTGTACTTGTTTAAACAAGTAAATATTTGTATGGAAAGCATTAAGACAGGAAACCCTCAACATTGCTTCCCATTCACCAAGGAGTTCAATTGCAGCATTGTATGTATGACAACATCACAATGCCGCCTCTTAAAGTTGCCAAGTCGTAACCATGTATTTTCAATGGAAAGGTTCATTAGATCAAACTCATATGTTCAATTAGACAAACAAAGGAAGAACCAGAGCACCAAAGCAGCTTGTTGTTTCTAACAGAGCATTTAAGGAGGCAACCGTTTAATCTGTTTTCTTGCCAGCGGTCAGCTTGTCGGCGTGGAGAGCGAAGGTCTCGGCCACTATCAGAGGGAAGACTAAAGAGGCATCTGCATACACCTGGGAACAAACAACAAAGCAGCATATCACTCGTCTGTAATATTATTATATTTGTGTTATGTTACATGCTAACTACACTTAACCAGAAGCCAGTCCCTAGCTTTCATATTTGTGTTTTGGTCCTCAGATGCCACAATGTACCCTTGGATGAAATGTTGTGTAGACACTGCCACCATGAGGCCAAAGTGTCGACTACAACTCCTGGTTACCACTCACCCTCCTGCTTCTGTGTCAGGCAAACAATTATTCAGTCTTCTCACCTGGTTGCCAGTTCTGATGTGTTACAAAATTATTTCCAAACACATTTATCGCTATAAAATTAATTTCAATGGAAAAGAAAGTTGTCAAATTATCAGCAATTACAAACCTACATACATAAAACATCTTGTCAAATAACCACAACAGCCATTAAGGTGTCATTTTAACCCACATCTGAAAACAGTTCAGGTGCTTTATATAATAGCTGTCAAAAGGCATCTGGGAAATATAAAGAAGACGGGAAGACATCTGAAAATACCTAATTGTAAATGAGGGAACATAATGTTGACATTAGTCTTGGTCTGGTCCTGGCCAACATTGGGATAAATATCAGTACCTTGACAGGTTTTGCATCTGTTCTGATCTTGCCCCAGGATATGGCCTCATCAGGTCTGGCCCCAGAGTCTGAGCCATCGAACTCCTGACCCGTGTTTACATACACTGAATAGTCGGCTCCATTCCTCTGGAGGGAGACAGAGGAGAATCAATGTGTATTTGGTTTGTGAGGAGGTTTGCTTTGCTGGCTCCATTTAAAAAGGGGTAATTGTGTATTTTGATAGTTGCTGTACTGTATGTAATGCCCATCTATAATCAAAGATTACCATCCACAACAAATCCAGGCCTCTGTAAATATAGAGTGGACAACAATATTTTGCTATACTTTATCATAGTTTTGCACAACTTCATGCAAAACATTCTTGCTTAACAGTGGTGAAAGACATATCCAGATCCTTTATTGCAGTAAAATCAGCAATGCTGCAACATAAGAATGCTCCATTACAAGTACAAGGGCTGCACTGACACTGTCACTTAAGTACTATATTATTAAATATACTTAAATTATCAAAAGTATGCATGATTTAGAAAAACAGTCCATGTGACTTTTTTTTCTACTATTGTGTTGTGTATATGTTAATGCATTTATGTTTAAGTAGCATTTTACTAATACAGTTGGAAGAAGAACTCATTTTAAGTATTTTATATAGCTACTGTTGGGTACTTTAATCTATAACAGTGCATGTTATTATATTTTTGTATGTAAAATCTTAATGTGTAAAGATACAAGCAATTATAGCTGTCAAATAAATGTAGTGGAGTGCAAAGTACAGTACTGAACATTTTACATTGTAGTGGAACTGAGGTATGAAGTAGCATGAAATGGAAATACTCAAGTACAGTACTTGAGTAAATGTGGTAAATCAAAGTCAATCACTGACAGCCAATATAAATACTCATAATTTTGCATAATTGTATTCAAAAGGTGATTAATAAATACGATAAAGATCATAGTTACCATGAGATTAGCATTAGCTATGTGATGTTTGACCAGCCCTCCTCCCAGGATGATCATTCCCGTTCTTTTGGCAAACACTGCCTGGCTGTTCAACCTGCGGATATCTGAAATAAAGTCCACATTCACCACATATAGTCCACATATGACCAACTAAGACATCTGTGGTGATCTTGTTCTGTACCAGTAATGTTACTTACCTTCCACTATGTCCAATACCAAGCCGGGGTTCTTATAAGAGTGGAAGTAGATCATGTCACCAAGAGAGCCGTCTGTCAGAGCAGGACTGAACACTGGAATGTTATTCTGAACACAGAATATAACAGCAAATTTACTGACTGGTTTCAGGAGCGCTTAATTCATAAATAAAATAAATTGACTTTAGACTTGTCTTAAAAATTATTTTAATTAACTTCAGACATGACACAAACTCACAGAATAATTTGTAAAAAAAAAAAATTTCAAAGATCTAAACTATTTTGCAGCAACTTGTCTTTATTGTCAGAATTTGAGGCAATTTAATTTTTTCTTTTCTGTCTTGTCTTTTTGGTAAAACAGATTGTAAAATGTAAAATGTATTGTTATTATTCCATCAGCTATTGATCCTGACAACTGGTCCTTATGATACAACACATTATCAAGATAAACCAGCACCCACCTTGTATGCCCAGTAATAGACAGAGTCAGTATTATTGATCTCCTTGCCAAGCCGATGGATCATTTTGGAGGGAGTCCAATGGGTGCCCTGAAAAAATAAAGGTTACATGATGTAAACAATAACATGACAGCTGAATTTGAAACATCCTTTGCAGTAAAGACTTCAGACTAACTACTACTACTACTAACAGTTTTGGGTGAAAAAAAAAACAAATAATACCCTAACTGCACAGAGAGACACACCTCTGTCTTCTGCTCCAGCAACATCTGGTCCAGGATGGGCATCAGCCAGTCTTCAAACTTACAGTAGTTATCATTGGGCACCAATAGGTTCCCTATTCTACATGCAATGAGGACAGAGAGATGAAAAGGAACAGAAGCTGTAAATAAAAAAGTTAGGATCTGATATGCAAGCAATGGTTAATAGTATTGCTACTGATGTTCTCATGTTTAAAGCAACAGCTTGACATCTAGGAAAATATGCTTATTCACTTTCTTGTCAAGAGTTAGTTGTGAGGATTGACACCACTCTCATGTGTGTACAGTGAATATGAAGCTACAGCCAGCAGCTGGTTTATTTTAGCTTAGCATAAAGATTAGAAATGGCAGGGGGCACAGCCAGACTAGGTCTCTCCAAAGAAAACTGAGTCTAACTACAAGCACCTCTAAAGCTTTGCAGGGTGTTATGCACCCTACTATTTCTATTATGTGTCATTCTTACACTTTTAGAGGTGCTGGTGGATTTTTTTTTCACATATTCATCATGCAGATACAAGAGCGGTATCAACCTTCTCCTCTAACTCTCAGCAAGAAGCACACACTGACAAAATTTCAATGTCAAACTATTTATTTATCTATTTATAAGGCTCAGTGTAAAATGCCACCCAAACTACCAACCTGTTAATCCCTCTCAGACGGAGCTCCTTGCCAGGCAGGCTGAAGTCTCCCAAATATGTGTGAGCCAGACACTTGATCAAATCCTCCTCAATGCCTCCAGCTGTGGTAACAATGACATCCACCTAGCAAAGAGTAACAAAACAGATTGTTTAACTAACACGGTCCACCTGTCAAAACTAAGTAGCAACTATACAGATAATTATAACAAGTGCATAAATTTGTACCATTTTGTGCTCTGCCAGGTAACGGATGCTCTCCCTGACTCCGGAGCTGATGAGGTTGGAGGTGTAGCCCAGGAAGATGGTGCAGCCTGAGTTTTTGGGGGATTCACCAGACTCTTTATTCTCATTTCCTTCACCTGCCTCCACTGGCTCAAGACGCTTCTCTATCTGTGGGTGTTGAGTCATTAGAGAACGGTTGTCAACATTGCAAATGTACACTGACAGAGTGATTGTAGATTATTGAATCTGTATCATCTAAAGGGTCAGTTCACCCCCAAAAACAAAAAAATCATATTTATATCTGTTGGTATACAGCCCTGCAGCTAGTTTTCATTGTTTTGGGGGAGAGGACGAAATCTCAAAGACAAATATTTCACAAAGAAAACCAAAACTATCTGCAAGGGAAAAGGGAAAATAAACCCACACACTCTTTCCTAATAGGTTTTCCTCTCACCATGTGGTTGATCTCCTGGACGGCCAAGCCAAAGCTGCTGGCCTGGAAGCCCGTGGTAAGGTAGGACTTCAGCACTGCCTGCAGATTGACCCCCTGGTTGAAGTCGTAGCCTTTGATCTTCGGCATGTCCTCTGGGAGGTCGCAACTGGGCTTGAGGACGGCCTCCATGGCAACAGAAGGGGCATGGTCTGCCATCTCTCCTGCAAAAACAAAGAGAACACGTTAGTGGAGTGGTTATCATCAGCAGAGCTGTGATCAAGAAACAATGGATGTAATCTCTTCTGTCTGTGGTGACAGGTTGCAGCTCTGCTCTGACTGACATGTACAGCACATGACTCTGAGCAACATGCATCTAATGAACCACAGCAAAATCTACATCTGATCTAACAATATTAGCCTAACTTATTAACAAAACGTCCTGAAGTTCAGGCTCTTCAGAAGACCTCTGGGTGAAGAGCTTTGGGCAAAGGCACTGCTAAAGAAAGATTATTCAGAAGAAGTATCTTGATTTAGGAATTATTTGTACTGTTTTTTTTCTTCTTTTTTTTTTGGGGGGGGGGGGGGGGGTGACAAAAAAATGTATCTGTTTTCATCTGGCTGTTCATTAGACTTTATTTCAGCACCATGTGCTGTTACAACAGCTCTGTCTTTATGTGGGACTGAATTAGATGTTACAAGGTTAATATTTTCTGCGGTTTACAGAGTTTTATATGTGCACTGTTATCTACATTAAATGTATGGAAAATCATGTTCAAATTCAGATGTAAACAGTGAAAGACAAAACTTAAGCTTTCATCTGAGGGGCAAATATTTTTGCTGGAAGGCCACTATTTGCCTACCACTGTCTTTTGGTATTATATAACACGACTTTTAATGTTTAGCTATCTACCTATTGTTTAGATACACTTTTGTTCACTGGACATTGGGAATAAATGAAGCACATATTGTGTTTAATTATTGCTGAATAACTTAAGTCAAAACACGAAGAATCCATGTGGCGCGGTACTAAGTGGAAGACGAGCTAACTATGAGCTGCCTGTCGACCTGGCTTTAATGAGGATTAAAAATTTGAAGACAGATATGAAAACGTACCTAATCTTGAAGAGCTGTTAGTTGATTAAGGTAGTTGAGTAGTAAATGGCTGTTACCAGACCAAACTAAGGCAGTTTTAAAGATTTGTATTTCTGTAAACATCGCACGAGTCGCTTGCGGCAAGTTAGCTCCCACTACGGAAAGTGTGAAGAGACAAATTTGATCAAACCGCCTTTCTGCTGCAAATCCCCACATTTAACATTAACTTGAAAACAGTCTGAAATGTTTTGTCCTATCCCGTTTAAATACATTCATATGTTTCTATAAGCTTTATTCACCTAATTCAGTTATATGTTTAACTATGAAAATTTTCAAATACGTGTTTGTTAATCGGGGGTCAATATCACAATTGATTATTAAAAGTGTATGTAAACCTCCATAATTTTACATCAAGTAATTTGTGTTTACCATGTATCTTATATAAATGCTTCATTGTGAAGAATGGTTTATCTCCAGTTCTACGTTATTGTAGCAGTTTTTATGACCATCATGTCATGGCCAGACCTACACCTAGAAGGCTGTTTGAGCTGGACCAGCGTGGTTTAATTGATTCCACATAAGGTTGGCTGTTTAAACGTTAATGGTGCACAACGTTTAACAAGTTCAAGTTTAAGTTTTGCAGGTATAATTTCATTCTACTAGAAACTACACCTGCTACACCTGATAAATGTACATGTAAAAATCACAATTGTCAAGTACCTGCCATCCTACAGACATTGTTGCATTGTCGCGATAAAGGCCTCAAATGCCCTACCTATCTATTACTGCATACCGATTATCCTTTTTCAGACAGCATACCTTAGCCAATAATCTTTTCATCAGCAGCGTCTGTGAAGTGGTGTGTGATGTTTGTGACATTTCCAACACTGTTGTATGACCTTTTATATCACAGAGCCTTTGAACTGCGCCCAACAGTGAATAAAAAGAGGGTACAGGTCAAAAAGGAAAGTCAGGACCTTGTCGGACCAGACAATCCTGCACAACCTGAGCTGACGTGTTGGATCGGGTAAAATACTACTCTAAATCCGTTTCCTGCTGCTGCTTTTGGTGTTGAGGAAGGGTGTTGAGTCCATAGTTGGATTTTTGCTAAGTCTTTATACTGAGGGGAATGTCAGGAAAGACGTGTAGCAGCAACAGTATGGTTCAAACACAAAAACTGGTGGATCAACTTCGGGTGGAGGCAAGCATGGAGAGAATCAAGGTATGTAAGAATTATCTATTAACTACATGCATGATAGCTGCACATCATCATACAACATGGATAAGTCAAGACCAGTTGTCTGAAGATTTCTTTAGTTCAGAATATCTTACATCTTACAACATGCTTCATGTCTCTATAATTAACATCCAATGTCCATTGAGTATTTAAATTTTTTAAAGGTATTACAATGTTCAAAATCCTGTCAAATGCCATCCTGTCCACCTTTGTCCCAGCAGATCTCCCTGACAGCAGGAGACTTGGTTCAGTACTGTCAGGACCACAGGCGCAGTGACCCTTTGCTCACTGGCATCGCTGCCTCATCCAATCCTTTCAAAGATAAGAAGACCTGTGTGCTGCTTTGACAGTCCTGAGTGAAGATAACCAACACATTACATGGACACATCATGTCTGAAGATGTAACCACAGATTTTTTTACTGTCAAATGTGTTCCTGATAAACTGCCCTGTCACCAGTGAGATAGCAGATTGTTTTAACATCTACCTTTTCCCTTAAAGCATCTCCTTTGAGGATAAACATCACATATAGTGCACTTTGTGCATCTGATATTGTCTAAATTAAAGACAGCACTATGATAAAAATACAAATAATGGCTTTACTTTTACTATTGACTTTATAACCTTAATTAATTTAACTCCTTTACATAACAGCATAACTAATTTATGTGTCCCTTAAAATTTACAACAGTAAGGAATTACCTGGGTAACTGGAAACTGCTCAGATCAAGTTAAGTCAACTAAACCTGCTCCATAAGGGCAGTGAACAAATCCAGCCAATAATTCAGACACTAGATTTTCAGGCCATTTAATGACATCTGTGGAAACAGTCTTTCAGTGTGTTTTAGCATACGTATATATTAAGTGCTGTGCAAATGATTTATAGTTACATTTATCCAAACAACTAGACAGGCACACAGACAGACAGACACACACACACTCTCACACACACACTCTCACACACACACACACACACACACACACACACACACACACACACACACACACACACACACACACACACACACACACACACACACACACAAAAGGCATTTGCAGACATACTTACAAAATGGATAATAGTGATTAGTACTACTGACTGTTCAAATAAATAGCTTTACAAATACAATCAGTGTGTCACAGAAGGTTTGGATCCAAGTATTTCACTGTACATGAAGAGTAACTCATTTTGTACAATATCAGTTCCAGTAATGGATTCAGTCAACTTGTGAGCATGTAAATACTTTTACGCCTTTTAAATGTCTGCATTTTCCACGCTGTTTGAACAAACAAACAATTAAAGGAGGAGAAACAAAATTCTTTAAATGCAGTGTTTCTTGTTGTTTTTTTTGTTTTTTTTTAAAGCTTTCAGTACTTGCACAAAATGACAAATAATAGATGCAGGAAACACGTTTCCTGTATTTATGTGTTTTTTTGTCTACAGAAAAATCTAAACGTAATCAAACGAGGACAAAAAAAGAAGAAAATTGGTTGAGAGTTTTTGGTAAGTGACCACAACCTTCCCAAAACAACTCTGCTATAGAACAATAAAAACACACCAGGAAATAAAAATTAGCAATGCCACTAAACATCTGGTAGCACTATCTCTGAAAACATTAGTTTCACACTTTTTAACATGAGTTTGGCAGTGCAGCAAAATAAAATCATTTGTTTGGCCATATGTACCACAAATGTCTTTATTTCCAATCTTACTTTTTCATATTAATTTGTTAACTTATTTACACTTACATTTCTCTTGATGCAATGCTTTCAGAAAGTGTTCAGGCCCCTTCACTTTTTTCACACCTTATTATCTTGCATCCTTATGCTAAAATCGTTTAAATTTACTTTCCCCTCATCAATCTACACTCAATACCCCATAATGACAAAGTGAAAACAGATATTTTTACTGATTTATTAAAAAGGAAAAACTGAAATATCAGCATTCAGACTCCTTCCTCAGCAATTAGTTGAAGGACCTTCAGCGATTAAAACCTTGAGTCTTCTTGGGTATGACACAACAAGCTTTACATACCTGGATTTGGGGATTTTCTGCCATTCTTCTCTACAGATCCTCTCAAGCTCTGTCAGGTTGGATGGGGACCATCGGTGGACGGCAATTTTCACTCCAGAAATGTTCGATTAGGGTTGGGCCACTCAAGGATGTTCACAGAGTTGTCCCTAAGCCACTCCTGCATTGTCTGGGCTGTGAGCTTAGAGTCATTGTCCCGCTGGAAAGTGAACTGTCAGCCCAGTCTGAGGTCCTGGTTTTCGTTAAGGATATCTCTTTACTTGGTTCCCTTCAGATTTCCCTCAACCTCGACCAGTCTCCCTTTTCCCTGTTGCTGAAAAACACCCCCACACCATGATGCTCCAAGTGGTTTTCATGTGTCTATTCATTACGGTCAAGGTGTAGAAAAGTCTCAGATGATCAAGAGAAAAGGGAGGCTGCTGAGTTAAATTTCAAGTGTCAAAGCAATGGGTCTGAATACTTATGTCAATGTGATAATTCAGTTTTTCCTTTTGAATAAATTGTGAATAATTTCTAAAATTCAGTTTCCCCTTTATTTTTATGGGGTATTGAGTGTAGACTGATGAGGGAAAAAATTAACTTAAAGGATTTTAGCATCAGGCTGCAACACAACAAAATGTGCACAGGTGTTAACCAGCCATGCTGCAAGTAAAGAGAACTGTTTCTTTTTTTTTCCTTTTATTTCAGCTACTTGCCGTTGTGTACGCCATATATTCTAAATTCCAAAATGCTGAAAGACCAGTATAGTATTCAGTATTCAGTCTTCAAATCTTGTCACATAGTTTGCAGGTGTTGCTCTCTCATTTTCTGGGCCTCCAGACTTCTACACACACATCCCCTGAGGCTACAGCAAGGACTCCAGCATCCACACTCAGCTGACATTTGAAGACAGAGACAGGAGGGGTATGTGAGAGATAATGAAGACACAAGGAGAAAAAAATATCGACAAAATGTGTTATAAAGCACTAACCCCATTGACTCCAGCTTGATGATGCAGTGTGCATAACGTCCTTGGAGGCGCACAAGGGACGTGTACCTGCAATACAGAAAAGAAATTACAATAGAAGAAATTCAGTACCAAAGCTGGCTAAATAGACAAAGCAGTAAGGAATGAGCTTCTTCCTACCTTGACAGTACGATCAGATGAACAGGTGTAGAGGCTTCCAGGAGTCCTGTGGATGCCAGTGACCAGAGCTGTGTGTCCCACATCAAACTGGGACAGGGGTTTTAAGGTCCCTGCCTGCATAGAAAAGGAGTGGAGCTTGCCACCATTGTCTCCTGCCCACACCTCACTGCCACTGTAGCTCATGGACAGCAGATAAGAGCTCAGCTAGAAGTGGAGAGGTCGGTTGAGAGTCAGTCTTGGTGCACAGGTGTACCTGAGCATATATGCACGCAAATACTAACTTAACAAACTATGTGTGTGTCTGTGTTCGCAGCTACCTGAAGTTTTTTTAAGCCTTTGCCTGCCCTGCGGTCATAAACAGCCACAGTGCAGTCCTTACTTCCAGAGATGATGTACTTGTCATCTGCAGCTAGGCACATTACAGCGTTACCATGGAGACGGAGGCTTTTTACCAGGGGCTCAGCAGCTGTAGATAAAATCATGACATAATCAACCTCCGAAACCAAGTGATTTGTCTTCACAATTTATTTGTATGATATCTGTCATCACATTCATAAAACTAATGATCTTTATCTGCACTCTACACACACTCAGCCACTAAAGTGACAGGTTATATGTGAAACCCCCTCACCTCTGGTGTCATACATGCTGACCCTCTTGTCAAACGTACCAGCCAGCAACACATCCGTCTGACAGGACAAGCAGAGGACAGCAGCCCCAGCCCTGATCAGGCCCCTCTCTGCACCACCTGCCTGTAGGTCCCATAGCCTCACTGTGCTGTCAAAGCCCCCTGAAGCCAGCAGAGATTCCTGAGATTCCTGAGATGCCAGACACCAGACCCAGCCCCGATGGGTGCTGAAGTCACCCTGCCCTCCCAATGTGTGCAGCAGTGTGCCACTAGGACCTGCTTGCAGATCCCACAGTTTAACATTCCAGTCTCTGGAACCAGTAGCACAAACCGTCCCCTCTCCCCCCACAAGGAGGACTGAGTTGACCTGGGCAATGTGGCCAGAGGGTAGGGTGATGCACTCCAGCGATGGGGGTGGGCTAGGACTTCTAGCAGGTTGACAGTGCTCCATCTCTTCAAGTCTTCCATTACCATTATTCCTGGGGTCTGCCAAGCCCTCTTGGTGATTAAGAGCACCACCTTGCCCTTCATTAGCATCAAACATCATCCTGTGGTCCCTTTCTTCTGCCATTAGTGCCGGCGCATCATCCTCCAGTCTCTCTTCCAACTCCTCTCTCAATCTTGCCAGTTGGTCCTCACCTTCAATGGGCTGGATTTCACCATCCTCACCTTCTATTGCCACCTCCATCCCTTCATCAGCACCATACGCAGCCTCTTGCGCTGCCACTCCCACTCCTTCTACTTCAGCCTCTCCTCCACCTCCCTCCACACCTGGTTCCCCATCCTGCCCTCCCCTTTGCTGCTGCCTTACTTGACCCCTTTCCTCCACAACCTCTTGGGTCTGTCTGGCTAAAAGGTGTGCTTGGCTTGTCCAGCAGGTTATCAGCTGCTCCATCTCCAGGCAAGCAGTAGGCCAGTCAAAGTCCTCCCTTGGCCCCACTGGAAAGCCAGCTTGGGGTCCTATTAGTCTGCGTGCTCGGAGCTGCCAAGCAGTGCTGTCCTTTCCTACATTACCCAATGCATGACAGACCTGAAGGGAGGAGAAACATGGATTCAAGAAAATTTCCAACATTTGCAAGACCTATAAAGTCTTGCATAACGCGTCACACGTACATGCACAAGGCTGACGTGGTACACAGTTCTGCCAGTGGTTTCACATTATTCCAATGATCTACAAGTGGTGGTAATGCACCAAGAAACACAGCAATGTGCTAACAAAAGCAGGGAAGAAGAAGACTGCTTGGTAGTGAATTGTAAATTTGTAAATGTTTTATAAGGAAGCAAATAAAGTTGCACACATTTGTTCAACCTCAAAGATACAAACAAAGAGTTTTGAAGACTAACACTGAGTGCAAACATAACTGTTTACAAGAAAACTTGACAGGACACGTTTAAATTAAGAAATGTTCATTCTGGATATCTATACTTGCTTTGTTTGTGTATTAATTGTCAAGTAAATGACACAACCAACAAACTTAATCAGTGTCCAGAGTATACAGTGAAATGGGAAATATCTCACAGTTATTTAGTCTTCTGGTGATTGAGGTAACAAATAAGCAAGAAAATTAGAGGACAGGACTTCTTAGGAATTGTATGGGAATGATGGGTCAATACATCTTTAAAACGTACCTTTGGCAGTACAGTGATGACACACTGAGCAGGAAGGTGTGAAGCAATGTGGGTTACCATCTCCCATGGTAATGACAACAAGCCACTTGCCTCAGCAGAAGGTGAGGGGCTAACGTCTGCTGAGGACAGGTGACCAGCAGGAAGAAGACTGGAAGGAATATGAAGACCACCGTGACTTCCTTATTAATCTCATGACCAGCCATTTAACTGAGGGTGAATGAAAGTCTTACCCCTGCAGGTCAGGCCGGGAGGCTTCACTACTCAGAGGTTTCACGGGGTCAGGACACGGTCCACCCTGGTCACCGTATGTCCCTTCGTCCGGTTCATACGACTTTACACTGACCTCAGACATCACCTTTCTCTCTCTCTCCTCTCAGCACAAGACCACTAACTCATGCACTGTAAGCCAACATTACTTTAAACTACCTCTGTTTTGTCCTGTTGGCTGTACGTGTTTCAATACATTTAGTGTAAAATATTGTGACAATGAAACTTGACCAAATGTTAGCTTAGCGTCAGCTACACTGGTAACAATTCAGATACACACTGCTTGAAGAAAGCTTTAATTACTTTCCATGAATACAGTCCTTTTATTAAAAGGTTTTACCGTCTGTTAAATGTATATATATTGAAAAAACCTTGACTATAGCTGAAAGACAGTAGGTTAAGATTAGCTAGCTTCAAGTACTGCTACACAGAATAATACTGAAAACAAGACCAGCCTTTGACAAATCCAGTCGTTGGTCAAAAGTCGTAGCCGGAGTGCGTGTAACAGAAGGTCATTGTCACGATATCAGTCAAATTAAGACTGAAATGTCATGTAACGCGGTAACATTAACTGCTATTTATCAGCTGTTTTCACGGCGAACTACAAAAAATTCAAAACATCACTTCCGGTGTACAAATATGGCGTCATCAAGCTGCGCGACAAGATGGCAACCACGGCAACCTTCTTCTCGTCTCTTGCTTAAATTTTTCTGATAAACATTTAATATTTGTTAGGGATATCAGATTATATAATATAATATAATAATATATAATAATTAAATATATATATATATGCGTATTACAAACATAGTTCATATATCTCTCACACACAGACAACACACATATGTATCAATCACTCACATATACACCAAATACCAAGTGTTTCTGTAAGGAAACCCACGTTTGAAATTTTTTACAAATTTATAAAAGATGATGTAAATGTACCTATTTTTTCATGTTAGCAGCATGCCCCATTGAATGGCAATGGCAACCTAGGCTTGGTTCCCAGAGGATGCCTACTAACTTTGACCTCTTCATTTGACCTCTAGAGCCACCATGTGCCTGACTTTTTGGCTTTATATGAAATACTTCACAATTACTAGATCTTCATTAAACTAAAACAATCAGGCATTCACATTATCCTCCTAAAGAAGAATTGCAAAAACTTCAACATCGTGGTTAGTGTTTTCAGCCTCTGTGGCGCATTGAATCTCATTCAAATGTCACTTTAATTCATTCGCAAAAGGAGGATGGTAAGATGTCTTCTAGGTCACCAGGAAGCAAGTGCTATCTCTAAGTTTAGGTTGTTTCCTGCCTGACCCAAATGAACCAAATTTAAGGCTCAAGTCTTAAAGCAAATAATATTTATCCAAACATATTGATGATCATACAGAATACAAACATTTCACTCAATGACTCAAAGCTTAATAGAAAAAAAACTTTTATTTTCCCCTATTCACAAAAATTAAATTAAAAGGGATACATCCCACCTGCACCACAGTTCAGCAAAATAAAGGTACTACATCAAATTCAATTGCCAGCCTTGATATCAGATTGAAACAAGTTATGAATTAGTTTTCCACATTCTTCCCTAAGGTATGCACCAAGCACCGACTCTCCTTCAGTCCAACCACAATATCAAATTTAACATAATCAAATGGTCCGCTATAAAACAACGAAAACAAATTATTCTTTAAATAAAAAGAATAAAAATTGGGGAAAAAAAAAAAACAAAAACAAAAACAAAAAAACAAAAAAAAAAACTTTTAAAGTCCAAAACAATTTGTGCACTGGGCACAAAAAAATATTAAAAAAAAAACAAAAACAAAATAAAAAGTAAAAAACAAAATAAATAAATAAAAAAACTGTCACATGTGCATCAAAATAAAAAAAATAAAAAATAAACAACTTGTGGACAACTTGCATTTAAATTTACTTCTGTAGATAGCTTAGTGTATCACAACATGGCGAGGAGTGGTATAGCCTCAACTTTTTACCAATTCTTTGAGGCACAGGAGCATCATCCCTCTGAAACAATCATTTTTGTAATGAATGCTTCAAAAGCTGCTGCTCCAAGCACATCTGTCCAGCCTCTGATGAATGAGTTGCCAGCTCACATCTCAACACCCGCCTACCAGTTAAACCTGGACAGGATGCCATCAGTATTCAGTCTGTGGGGTCTGTGGGCTTAGAAAAGTGGTCAGGAATCCAAAACACCGTCTCATCAACATCGGCAACATTTGTGCTACAACAAAATCAAAAATCTGCATCACATTTGTTGATCACACATTAATGCTGATTCTATAAAATACATAAACTGTAAATGTGAGCTGATATTCAGGAAAATGCTATTTAGTCAGACAGGAGCAGATATCAGTATTTTCCATGAGTGAAAGTCTTCATCTTAAGAGTTTTAAACACCCTGACAATCAAACTGATGACAGTAACTGGCAGGCAAATGTTGATTCTCCCACTGGCCACATTAACCCAGGCATGACTCAAACTACGCCCCCCACTTAACTTTAGAGTAGGGCTGGTGCAAAGTTACATCTAAGCAGTACTCGCGTACACACCATTATAGTAAAACACCAACAGGCAACAGCCATACACACTTACATTACAACCGTCCACTATGGACAATGACTAAAAGATAAAGCTGGATAAAGACCACCACTCTCTCACATAAGCTAACCAGTGTCAGGGGAGAACTATTAGGACTCAGAGTCAGTGTATTCCCAGGCATAACCTACACAGTATTGTCGGGTGAAGATATGGCAACAACAATCACTAGTTTTATCACGAGCTGGAGAAGTACCTTATTAGTCCAGCAGCGAATTGTGTTGCCATTGACAAAGCTCTTATAAGGTAGATCCCTCCAAAGGGACCTGTTATAAAATGACTAAAAAAGGAGCAAGACTCACTGAAAAGCATGCAGTGTTCATGACAAGGAGAAGCTTTGACGGCTCAAACAGCCACTATTTAACAAAAAAGCTCTGATGAAAGAGACGGAGACATCTTTAAACACAGATATGGATTGACAGGTGCACTGGGACATGGATCCAAAATACTGTAATTAAGATGTTTCCCTCTTAAATCCTATTCAATCCATTTTAGAAGGCGCTACATTATAAAACTATGTTAAGAGGCCTCAAGTCTTACCTAGTCATTTTACCATTGCTTAACATTATCAACATTATGCTTACTTTAGCAAGTCATTAACAGTCCTAAAATCACTTATCAAAAAAACTATATCTCAAGATCAGTATATCATTACTGTATGTCTTACATGTGAAATTCTAAATTTCTTACAAAAGAAAAAGTGCATTTATATCAGTAAGAACCAATTCATTCTTGGTGATGTCTTATCGCTCTCATTAAGTCCATTTTGTAAATACTCTAAAAACAAAGCAGCAGCAGCACAAAGGATTCTCAACTTTGCGTACAGTATTTTAACTCTTCTTGCAGTGAGTGATTCTCCAAACAATCAGACATGAGCCGATTCCTGTATTGATTCCTGTATTGATCTACCTATAGTTGGTCGTCACACACACACAGCCTCCATTACACTATAGGGACATTGATTAGATGATAGGTATGAATGGAGGACAAAAAGAACTAAGCACCTGACAGCCTCAAATTATGGCAGCCTCCCCATACAGACAACTAACGCAATAAATCAAGAGTGCAACAAGACACACATTCACTCAAACATGCGTCACTTAGGAGGTGATCATATGCCATGCAACAACTTGGTACTGCGGTGGTAAAACCTTAGAGGACAGACCTACTGCATCTTCTTTGCCTCAAATGAGGGAGAAAAAGAAACCTATGATCTGAGAGGAATTCAGCAACCAAGGGAAGAGGAGGGAAATTAAATTCAGCTAAATGTACATGTGAAAAGAGAATAAGACCCATGTATATGCACACCGAATGTTTATGCAATTTTGCCGTAAAAGGTGCAAAAAAAATTTGTGCACATTTCCTGCATTGTTACATTGTAAAAGCATGTTTTTTGTTTAGCCTCTGGCACGAGCCTGTTTAAACACATCTACATCTGTGAGTCTTTCTACTGACTACGTGCATTGTGGTATTTGGGACTGTGGCACCCTATGCTGGTTCAGATAATTCCGTATTATGTACCTATCTGCTACCCCCCCTCCCCTCCCAGCCGTCATCTATCTTAACAGAATAATCAAATCGAGGAGGGGGAGGTCAAAGCCAGCCCCTATTTTGCCCTCTTCTACCAAGGATCCCTGCGGTGCTGTTGGCGAAAGTCACTTTTGAGTGTGTTTGGATTTAGTGAGGCGTTTAATCCGAGAGGTATATGTATATCCCCAGTTTACCCTCCCACACCCACCACCCTCCTCCCACCCTCCCTCACAGAGACACACAGGGCGCGGGGGGGAAAGGGGGCCATCCGCTGAATGGAGGGTCAAGGCCAGTCACATCCCTCCAGCTCTTGTTTCTCCCCCGTGATCTGGGCAGTGCAATGAGTTCCCCAGTAACCCTCCCCTACATTAACCTGAGGAAGAGAGAGACGGAGAGAAGAGTTTTAAAATCACATTATACAGCAACTAGTAAATGAAGAGCTGACAGAAGCAGTTCAGGGGTCAAAAGGAAGCAGTGGTGTGGGAAAAGTGAGATTCTGGATCAGATAATTCATTTGGGAACAAAATGTATCATTGCATATCAATGAGCTGGGATTTTCATCATTTCCAGAAAGGGGTCTTGGGTTGGTTGTTCATTTGTGACGTAGAGACGTTTGCTGGACATACCTAACAGGTTGATGTCCTGTGTGGACCAGGGGAAGGTTAGGTTAGACGCCGTAGCAGGCAGACAGGCGCTCCTTCAACAGAGGAGGGAACTGCTCAGAGAACTGCTGCCAGTTCTCTTCCCCGACCTGGTCCTTGAAGCCATGAAGAATCTTGAAGAAAGAAAAAAAAGAAAAAAGAAAAAAAAGAAAAACCATCATGATCCAGACTAAGCCATCTAAAACACGATTGAGCAGCTGTTTGTAACCTAGCTAATTAAGCTAACATCAGCTCAATAACTTGATTGAAAATGCTGTCTGGGACTGAATTTTTTGAGTTTGCAGCTGATTTTAAAAAGAACCCAGTAAAAGGGTCTAAAATATTATTTTGTGCTCAATGACTGAGGCTAAAAAGGCATTTTTCTGGTAATACAACTTTGAGCTAGTTAGTCCTGGAAAAATGTAAGATTAAACTTATTTCATTCCAACATAACTATTCAATTAATTTATTATTTACTGTATTCTATAAGAGTATGCTTTCACTTTTAACACAAGAGAAAAAGGTTTTTAGGATGAGGGCCAACCAATGTGTTTTGAGGAGCATAAACTTCCCAAAATCTACTAAAGAACAAGACAGAGGTGCTAATTTTGATAACTGATAGCATCAGGACCGCATGGACTGCCGGCTCCTTGGCTTTGTAAGTTACGTAGTAAGTTAGTAAGCCAGACATGCCTACAGTTGCAGACTGGAGTAGATAAACACACTGTTAATGCCACTCTTTACACTGTTCTTGCGAGTTTGGATTACAAAAGCTAAAAACGTGCTGTGCTAACGATTGTTTGCTAGGCTACGACTGAGCTATGACTGGGGGAGGACTTAAGCAAACAGCCACCATTCTCTCGACACCCTGGTTGATCAACTTGCAAACGTGATGCCGAATTATCATTTGTGCTGTCCTGAATGTGAAAATTGTTCTCCCTCCCTTTAACAGCAAACTCTAGCCACACTTCTCAGACTCAAAAATCATCCGCACCACATAATCAGATTTCGAATGTCTGATTAAATGATCATCACAGAGTGTGGTGAGCCAGCAGCAGACATGGGGAGGGAACATTTTAATGACAAACACTAGTCATCTAAAAGCACTGATGAAGCACTCACTTTATAAAACATGTCTCTCAGGTCATCCTTGGGGTTGACCCAGGAGGCCACAGCATCACAGAAGAAAATGAAGTCCTGAACAGAGAAGACTTGTTACTTAATCACACACTGATGCAGAGCTCCCCTAGCTATGTAACCCCTGCATCACCAACAGCTATCACCTCACCTGCACCACTCCTGCAGGGTTGACGCCAATCATTACACAGATTCCCCTGAAGGCCGAGTCCTTCTCCTCATTATCTCGGATATTCCTCAGCGATGTGCACCTGAGAACAAGGACAATGAGGAGACAATAAAGAGAGTAATAAAGTATTTGCTCTACGAGTCAGTGTATAATAATAAATGTTAAAATACCTCCTTAAATTGTCTATAATCGTCTGAAAAACATTTGTATATACCTATCTATCAATTGCCGAGAACATGGTTAATAACAAAGGGAAAGACAAAGGCGGTGCAGTTTGTGCAGACCTGCAGGTTGCATTTGGTAAGCTAAATCACACACGAGCTTGCATGCATGAAAACCTGCACACTGAAGATGGCAAATGCGGAACTGTGCCATCTCGAGTATGAGTCACACGAGGTTTGCGGTATCTGGATCAGAAAATGTTATGGGAACAAAACGTATCATTTTGTGTCAATGAGCTGGGTGTTTCATCATATCCAGATACTGAGCACTTGATTTCACTGAAGGACACCATTAGTGAAATAAGAAAAAAAAAAAAAAAACGAAATAGAAGAAAATGACCTCCCTTGTGCATTTGGGAAATAAATTTAATTATGTCCTATTGCACTGTTTCCTTTCCTCTCAAGAATAACAGTTTCTCTTTCTTCTAGGCTAATAGAAATTTATTTATACATAGTGCAAGAAGAAGGGCCTCGGGTTTGGCGCACAATATAAAAAGAAAAGACTTATTGTCTTATTATAGATGTGAATTTCATGATATCCAGATAATAATGTTGGAACAGTGACTCACCATGGTCTAATGAAATGCTGCAGCTGTGGCGCCACTTCCTGGGGACAGACATAACCCAGTCTGCCAATTGTAATGGCTGCACACAGAGAGAAGAAAAACACTTCACCTTAACTCACTAGTGTGACCATCAGATGACATCCAAACTTATACTGCGCATGTATCACTCATGTACCTGTGTTTTCCAGCAGAGTCTTGGGTGTGTTGGGTCTATTGATGATCTCGACCAGGTGTGGCAGGACCATGCCCACATACGGCTGCATCTCTGCACCTAGAGACACATACACACAGCATAGAAAGAGCACACTGTCAAATGTATGAGATAAACAAGCCACCTGCAGTGTGGATGTGTCATGGTCACAACTGTCACAATGCTACAGATTCATTTTGAAGCCACAGAGAAAAACATGACTATAGACTGATCATTTTGTGTTGGTGTAGGACTCCATCGGTGATAAAAACTGAGTGAGTTAAGTTTAAGAGTTTGATCCATTAACCTTTTCAGTTTCTACAGTGACTCAGACACTAAGGCATAAAAAAAATAAATCAAATAAAAACACATACTGTGTGTCATGTCTTGCAGTTATTTGATACTATGAAATTCAACACAATATTTGTCTTATGCTCAAAACCAATACCATATTTAATCCTTTTACATACCAATACGCCCTCACATCCACAAAAATACATGTTGCAATAAAACAGCTTTTTAATGAACCCTTCACATTACACGTTTCTTGCAACACAGGGTTCGTTAACTAGTGAATGCTGGAGTAGACTGAACAACATTCTGTGACCAGAAGACTACATTCCTATCTTTAACGGGATAAATTCAATCCTTATGAAAGCTATCAGTGTTATAATGTGTCTACAAATTCAAAGAGAGTGTGGATGCAAAGAAATCTAGACAGAACCGTACAGCTTTAAGATGCTTCTTATAGCAGTTTGGGTAAAAAAGGAGGCAAATCTCAGCATATCTGAGAGAAAAGTCTCATTTGATTTTGCACTCATTGGTCTTAAAGATGACTGGTTTGCTGGTGTCCCTACGCTCACCTGGACAATCCCCTGTTTGCTGCTTGACACCTGTTCCTGTAAGGATATCACACAGAGTGTCACTGGGCTGACTGGATCACGCACAATGGCTAGCCGGGCAAGCATGCACACACACACACACACACACACACAGGTTCACACAATGCACAAGCATAATGGAGGTTGCTTCTGCCACTACCAGAAGTCATAAGTGTTAAGATAGACCCACTTTCACAACCAGGCAAAGTTTGCTTAAGTGTCCATGATGGTCTGAAAAACATTTATATATAAATCTGCAACATTTTTATGTTCTATCAGTTGCCAAGAACGCAGTTAATGTCGAGGGGAAAAACAAAGGCAATGCCGTTTGTACAGACCTGTAGGTTGGTTTACATTTGTTAAATTAAATCACACACGAGCTTGCACACATGAAAACCTGCACTCTCAAGATGGCAAATGCTGAGTTGTGCCACCTAGAGTATAATCACACGAGGTGTGCAGTATCTGGATCAGAAAATATTATGGGAACAAAACGTATCATTTTGTGTCAATGAGCTGGGTGTTTCATCATATCCAGATACTGGGCACTTGTTTGCACTGAAGGCAACAATTTATTTTAAAAAATGAAACATAAAACAGGCATCAACAATAAGTATAACCTGCTTTCTCACCCATTTGCATGGAGATCTCCCCAATGGCCCAGGTCGCGTTGTTACACACCGAGATAAACTCTGGGTTCAGGTTGAGCCCCAGGATAGGCATGAACTCAGCTGGAGGGAGAACATGTGCACACACTGGTTACGACACAATCACTTACATACACACACACAGTTCCTTCCTCCCTCAATAAAGACACTAGACTCTCTATAGCAACAGATATCTCAATGAGTCAATGCTGGGTGTTCCCTGATGGCAAGATAGTAGAGGACAGGTTATGTCATTTTAGTCAATGCTCTGATAAAGCACACTCACCAATACAAGGCTTCACATGGAGGAAGCAGGCTTTGGTTAAATCACCCAACAGAGCAAAAGAGCTTTGCCTCACTTCAGGCATTGTGTCCTGAAATGCAACACAACTGCGTTAGCGTCAAAATTGTCCAGTAAACACTTAAGACTTCAAAAGAAACTCTGCTGACACATGGAGAAGCACAGACAGAAACTACAACACACACTCCCTCATACCTGCATGCACTGGAAAAGCAGGGTCATGATGTTGGAGCGGGCCACTAGCTGTTCCACATTCCCCCCCAAACCCTCAGCCAAGCCGCTCAGCAGATCCAGGGCCACGATCATAAAATCCTTGTCAGGAGCCTCATACTGGTCTGGGTGCTGATTGTACATCTGTTCAGACAAAACATACACAGTTCAATGTCCCTTGTTAAAAAAAAAAAAAAAAACACACCAAAGACAAAATTTATTTTGTGTGTGTTTTCTCACCATAGCCTGAGCTAGTGTCTTCTGGACTAGTGTGACACAGCGCTGATAGACAGGCTCACAGTAAGGCAGAAAGCCACTCTGCAGGGCAGTGGCTACTGACGACAGACACTGTAAGAAACACAAAGATGACTTTTAGAAAGACAAAAACGACATGAAAGCAATGTAAATCCGGGCAGGACTCTTTACAGTTACCATGATTCGGATAAAAACCTTCCATAGTACAAATTACTCCTTTATCAATTTCTCACCTCCAGTAGTGGGAAGAGATCCTTGTCTTCGTCCTTCAGCTCGTTCCACTTTGCAATAAGGGGGGGCATCAACTTCTGTATGTACTCCTGAGAAAGAATACAAAATGGTAAGATCTCACGGTTTCTCCTACTTTATAAACTTCAGAAAAGACGATATGAAAAAACTGTATCAAAAGGACTAGACTATATAGAATGGAAAGTGGGGGAAACCGCCTGGCTGTGTCCAGCTGTGACAAAAGCAAAAAAAGGTGTAAGAGTTCCACAGACACTTACAGGCTGATTAAGGTGGTGACCCACTGAGTCAGCCAGAGTTCCTATGGCATCATAGAGGATGAGGAGATTCTTGTGCTGGTACTTTCCAAAGGCAAAGACCAGCGTGTCCAGAATAAAGCTCAGGTAGGGCACCAGCTCTGTGCACGCCTCCTCTTCCAGAGTGGCAAACGCACTAAGAGAAAACCAAGATGGAGGACATGTTACCATTTAATCTATATATATCTAGTTCTTCCAGTCTAGGAATTGACGACAAAGTGTGTCATTATTAATCAATGAGCTGGGATTGTCTTCACATCCACATATGTAGAAGAGTGAAGCTGCTCACCTGCAGGCAGCCTCCTGCACCCTCTTGTTGCCGTCAAGGATGCGTTTCAGAAGCTCTGTCATGAGGGGTTTGAGGTAGGAGTCGGGAGGCTGGGAGACCACCCAATGTGCATAGCGACTCAGGGTCCAGCAGGCAATGGAGCGCACCAGGGCCTTCTTGTCGCACAGACACTGGATGAGGTGGGGGATCAACTCCGGCAGGTAGGGCACCATGCCCTGCATGCAGCCTGACGCATGGAGAGGGTCAACATGTTTATCATTATTTCTCCCTTTTTAATCTTCATTTCATTGTTAATATTTTTTGTTGAGGATTTTATCTATTCTCTGCCCTTTTAGTGGTACAATTCTACTTCATTTTATTGTTTTGAAATGTTTTATTTGAATTTTCCTATGTAAGGGAACATTGTAACTCTGTTTCTGAGAAGGGGTTAAGAAAAGTTTATATTACAAATAAGATTACAGGGATAATTATCACACATTGAACCACTTTCAGTACGCAGACAATATGTTGCAGCTGTGAGGTTTGTCAATTTAAATATCATTTACTATTATCTCAACTGTAAAATGTATTGATTGATTGATTGATTGAACAAGCAATTGAATAAGTCAGACATTCATAATAACAAGGATTAGATACAGAGAACTTGATTGATTCAACTCCGACAAATGTGTCGTTTCAGTGAGAACTCCTGTCAACCGAGTCTTACCCTCAGCTATGGCACCCAACACCAGGATGCCAGACTCCTTGATGACCCAGTCGGGGTGGAAGAGCAGGCCTTTGAGGAGCGGCAGGAGGTGGGGCAGTAGCTCGTCGCGGAACACGTTGGCCAGCACGTCCAGGGCTGCGGCCGAACACTTTCCTACATCAAAAAGAAAAGCTCAATAACAATGTTGTTTTGCAAGTGACCTGGCGGCAGATGTTTTCTAAAAGCTAAGTGCACTTGCTCCTAGAGCCACAACTGAGTGTTAAAGCATTGCTACATTTTGGTGAGTTTAAAAAGGCAAATCTGTTATGAAATGCCAAGGGTTCTCCATTTATTAAAAATCAATATGCAACCTACAGAAAGAGGCGTGCAAAACTGGAGATGATTTGCAAAGGACACAAGATTAATTTAGACTGAAGCCTGACAAAATGTGTGATGTTTCAACAAGAGCATGTGTGTAACTGCATTTCTCCTCCACTTACGCAGATTCCAGTCTGACAGAGTGTCGTCATCGTCGTCGTCGTCTTCTTCGATGTCCTCACCCTCCTCACCCTCCCCTCCTTCGTGCTGCAAGGTGACAGTGCGCGACTTGTGGAAACGGGGCTTGATGTCCTGATCGCTGTCTGGTACCGCCTCGTCCTCCTCCACATCACCCTGGACACCCAGACGCATACAAATGTTTACTTCAGCTATCATCATACAAATGTATTCTTTGAGGCGCAGATTTATAACAGAATTGGGGCCTGTTCTAAATGATCATTTTCCTTCTGTAATACTGGCTCCAATTATGAATGCAGTTGTGGTCATTGTTTTGGATTTATGTAAATAAGGGCATATTTCTGTATGAGAAGGTATTTTATAACTGGTACAAGAAGAAAAGAAAAGCTCACCTTTAATAGTATGATGTCTATCTCTGAGTACTTCATCCCATTCACAAGGATAGGTATCAGTCTGTATTGACAGAAGATGAAAACTTTTTGTTCAAAACAGTTGACAAACCTCATGACAAGTTGATAAGAATGTGGCGATTCTGTATTAAAAAAGCTCAAAAGACAAATCTTTCACAGTATCAAAAACATACAAGTTTGTGCCAATAATCTGTATTTACGCAACGCACATATTACATGAACAATAGTTAATGAGCTACTCACTGCACCAGGTGTCCGGACAGCATCTCCTTACAGATGGGTTGCTCTGCTAGAGTCAGCCAGAACTCACAGGCCTCAAGAGCCACGTTCTCATCAGGGTCCTGGGTCCGCTGCAGCATGTACTGCAAGAGATGAGAAAGGCACATGTTTGAAAGTCAGAACAGAGAGAAAAATATCAGCAATGCGCCAAAGTTCAGCAAAGACAAGTGGAAAATCTGGATCAGAAACAATAGGAACTATAGGTATCATTGTAAGTCAATGAGCTGGGTTTCTCATCATATCCAGATGCAAAAGACTAACTAATATGGACCTACAAAAAAGGTCCACAGCAGGGAGCGGTCCAACACTTACCTGGATGATGCTGTGCATGTGGGGGATGAGGCGGTCAATGCGGACCTCCAGTAACATGACCAGGGCTCGGCACACGTTCTTTCGAACCTCAGAGTCCTCATCTGCTGCCAGCGCAAACAGGCTCTGTGGAGAGACAAGAAATAAATTAACTGTGAGAGAGGGGAAATATCCAGACTATGGGAAGAGCAACAAGGCAATTTAAAAAAAAAAAAAAAAAAAAAAAAAAAAAAAAAGGACCTGGTCTGCTATTTAAACAAAGCTATACAGTCAGATTTACCTCAGTGTTCAAACACACAGCTCACCTCTATGAAAGTGTCAATGTTGTCCATTAGGGCCTGGGCTCTGCCGATGATGAACTGGTTCACACAGGCAATGGCATGGGACCTGCAGGGATGACAAAGAGGGTGTTAAAATTTCTCAATTTAACAAAATAAATATACAGCAACATTTGGCTCGATCTCACATTCTTAAAGTATGAACTTGTGTTTATGGAGAGAAAGTAGTTTAATTGCTATTCAATTAAACTGATAACATTGTAGTGTATTTTATGTAAAGCAGAATTTTCCTTAAAAAATTAATCAAAGTATTATGGATCCACTCTTTCCCAAATTTGTCAAAGGAAAAACAGAAAAATGTGGGTGTGACAAACTGAGCTAAATCCCTCTCGTGATACAAGAGGTGTGGCTGTTAAATGAAGAGACTGGAGTTCTTTAAGTCAACGGGCATCAGTCTCATTATTCAATAGCTACACCTCGTATATAAGCAGTTTAAAATATTACCATCAGTCATGGAAATGAGAGATCCACTTATGAACATCCTACTATGAATAAATGTAGGGACATTACTACTGACAAACTTATGTGCCTCTTTCATGCACACAAAAAGGGAAGTGAGTGTATTTAAAAAGCTTGTATAACTTGCACCATATATTAAAAAAACTGAAAAAAAAAAGAAAAAAAGAAAAAAAGAAAAAAGACTGCTCACTGCATCCCGTTAGCAATTAATGTAACTCGTGAATTAAGGTGCATGTCAGTGTGAGGTAAAGTGAGAGTGAAATCAAAAGATCTGGATCAGACAGTATGAATACAAACACCTTCACTGTCAGTCAGATGTTAGCATGCATCACACCCAGATGCTAATGACAGTCACACTTAAAAACAACTCCTGCTCTCTCTCCTGTACCTAATCTTGGGGCTGCAGTGCTTGAAGAACTGAAGGAATTTAGGTATCATAATGTTGAGGGGTCTGTTCAGAGCGTCGCTGTCCAGCAGCTCCGACGAGTCCTCGCAGATCTTCTGCAGTGCTCCAAACGAGCCCTGAGACACGGACATACACAGAAAGGCTGTCAAATCAAACGCAAACATACAGGGACACAGAGGAGAGAATGAGACTGCATCAGAAAATAAAACAGGAGCAACAGTACTGAATGCACTGTACACACAACGATTTTCGGCTGAATGTGTAAAGAAATTATTTTAGTCACACATTAACAGGATTTCAGTTGTTGCTTCACGACACCATGTAACATTCAGAGGTGCGAGGTCACACTCGTATACCTGTGCCTTCCTTATAATATTGCAAATATTTTATTGAAATAAACGCCCGACTAACTCCATATTGAGGATACTCAGCCTTTCAAAATGATTGTTGCTCTCCCAAGTGATGTTTGAAATATTGTTAGTTTTCAAATGTCACATGGTGTCATTTAAGTGTCTTCAGACATTGACCATTGAAAATCATCTAAAACAAAAGAAATCAGAACCTGCTTGTCCCCTAATTTAAATGTCAATATTATGAAAAAAATATAAATTATTATGGATGTCTGCCATTTCTTTAAAAAGGGCCTGTGCCCCATGTGTTTGCACTTGTTTTTCCTGATAGACATATCCCCTGTATTCTTGGTTGAATCTGCTGGGGTGGAACAATCAGAGCCTCTAATTTTATCTGTACTTTAACTTTGGAGACCTCGTGTAATTCTCTGCATAACTACATCCAGCTTCAACCTGATCAGAAATCTAATCAGCCAGAATAAAGAAAAGTGTCAGCCCTGCTTTTCATAACATAAAAAAAATATTAAAAAATAGATTGGGGCAAGTGCAGACCTCACAGGTGTTGTAGTCCTCTGAGTTGAGCAAGTTGCAGAGCTGGGGCAGCAGCTCTGGCCATGTCTGTAGCTCTCCCTTGGAGGCAATAGTTGTGATCAGGATGCCTAGAGGAGAGAGAGACGGGGGAAGAAGATAAAAGACTTCAGATGGTACTTTATATTAACAGAATCACAAGCAGTTGTCTTTGGAGCTGCTCTGGATCAGACAGTATGAATACAAATACCTTCATGTGAAGTCAAGATGTTTTTATGCATCATCTCCAGGAGGCAACCAGAAGTTTGATTTTTTTTTTTTTTTTTTTTTGGGGGGGGGGGGGGTCTAGCCAAAACTAGACCACAAAAAGAAATGGTGATGCAGAACACCCACAAACTTACCAATGGTAGCACGGATGAGCGGCGAGGGGTCGCCAATGTTGTTGAGGCATTCCTTCTTGATAAAGTCAGCAACAGCTGGTGGGAAGTTCTGGTAGTGGGCCTTAACATTGTTCTTCAGAATCAGACCGCTCAGAGAACGAGTTGGCTCATCTGGAGGGATGACAGGAAAAAAAAAAAGGTACAAAAAGGGTCAGAGAGAAGATAGTCAAACAAAAGTCATCAAATACACCCTAGTAGCCACTATGAATGCCCCAATATTACTGTTCAGATACTAGTTGCAACACCTAAACTTAGATCTGAAAACAGTACTCTTTTCTCTTCCTGTTTCACAATCTGTATGTCTCACTGTGTGGAACAATATGTGAACATTTATTTTTAGACTTGTGCAAATGTTTATTATTTAACGTACATAACATACTATACTGCGCTGATCTTATGAGGATGAATGGAAATATGAACAAAATATGTGTTTGGCTCTGTTCAACTCTTCACAAAATGTGTTACATTTACATACAACTATTTTACTATTTATCAATATCAGAACATTCCATGTCACACCCAGCATCATCTCTCACTGACTGCCCACATTTAACTCAGAGTGAAATACTGAACCTCAAGTGTCTGGGGAGGATCAGTAATCTCAGTGGGTTATATAAGGCTTTGAGAGAAGAAACAGATCTGGCTACTCACCTTCAGTTTTGAGTCGTGTGAGGACAAAAATTAGATAATTGTTGAAGTCAGGGAACTGGTTGAGTTGTTCAAGTTTCTGGCATGGCTGTTAAGGACCATTTGACTTTGAGCTTCAAGATTACGCAACTAACCTTTGCTCTCTATGCAAAGCAATGCATTTGTCAACTGTACATTGATCAAAACATAAAACATGACTTGTTTCTCTACATGGAATCACCAGTGTTTTGCACATATACGATATTTTTTGGTGGCTGACATGAATAGATTTTCCATCAACCAAAAGTTTGTTAATTATTTTGTGCATTAACATAATTTAAGAAATTTCATCAATTTTTGTGCAATTGTAGGCTTGGAAAAAAGAACTACAAGGCAACTTCAGAAAAATCCTCAACACTCAACTTCCAACCTGATAACAGCAGTGGCAACAAAACAAGGCACTGGTCAAAATCCCTTTGCACTTGGCACTGGTGTGAGGCACAATTTAGTAAAATATAATTCACTATCTTTACTATGCAGTGTGATATCACTCTGTAGTAGGATACTTGTTGGACAGCTCTCTGCGTGACTGTGTTGGGTGACTGTGAGTCTTTGAGCAGTTGGAGGACCTGCTGGAGTCCCTGCTCATCTGGCTGCCACTCCATCCTGAAAAAATACATACAAAAATTTAGATCCATACATGTTTGACAATGCATTTTGACAATATACGAGTAGTACCGATTAAACATTGGTAAGCAAGTGGTCTCTGGATCAGACAGTATGAATACGAAAACCCATCAGTGGTAGTCAGATGTTTTGGATGCATCATCTCCAAAGGCCACATGCACATGTAAGGTTGGGAGAGCAATCTAATAGGACACAATGTAAGTACAGAGCACACTAGCAAGATCAGTTGGATGCACAGTAAAGGCTGCTTTGCTAAACCTTACCTTGTATCATAGGTTGTTAATAAGTCTAAAATGTCTCACTGTGTAAGGCATTTTTCAACTAGTTACCAGAACACATAACTAAAAGACCCCCTTAATAACCTGAAAAGTTAAATAAACATCTGTACTAAGTTTTTATTGCTTTAACTTAATCAATCCATGTACCAAATGGTCGAGGGCCAAAGGGTGTATGTAGGCAGATGAGCGTGCACATGGTGCAGGTTCAAAGTGGACTAGAGTTCGGTGGGGAGCTGTTTGAGAGACAAAATAAACACGCAGCAGCCGCTGGCCTCGGAGTGCCGCCATGCCAACACCTAAAATCGTCATTGGAAATCGGCTTGCGGCACAAAAACGAGGACATTAGTCAACACGACCAGCTAAAATCTCTATGACCCGGCTTAACCGCTCCAAGTTAATCCTACCCCCACCCCCACGCCACCCGGTCGGTGCGAGTTACGGAAATGCTTTGTGTTTCAATGTTTCTCGTTCAAATCTCAATAATGCCCTGCGCAGCATATGTGTCCATCATGCACAGCTAACCTAAGGAGGTCGTATTCACCTGTGGTTGGTCGAAATGAGAAAAGTTATCAGGATATGAGTTAGCTATGTAGCCGCACCGCCTGGTCCGACTCCAAGATAGCCGTCCGTGTGGTTTGCCATTACTACATTTAATTACGCTAATTGGTTTATTCCTACTATAATATTCATTACCGAATAATTCATGGGTTAGTTCCGCTGAATTTGAGATGTCTACCTATAGCTGACCTGGTGCTACCAAAGTTGCCCTTCTTGCTCAGGCCTTGTCGGCAGAGCAGCTCAAGGCTGGGTGTTCCCAATGTGCCCGGCATGAAAATAGGCAAATATCGCCATCTGCTCTCCAAAGGAAGCCCCGTACCAAGCCATCCATTTAGAGAAATCTCAAATCTGAGTGGCCATGTAAGGTATCGCGGTTAACACAACGCTAGCAGCCAATAATAGGTACAAACTTTGTGAACACGTTTTGCAAGCTGGCGTTAGTGTTTGACTGGAAATGCTAATGCTAATGCTACTAGCTAGGCTAATGCTACATAACCGACACTTGCTTTAATACTCGCTACATCAGAACACCTTACCCAATCACGTTGATCGATGTAATATATATCTAAAATATTTTGTCAAAATACAAGCGAACTAATATGTACGTACAATATTGAGTTGATAGTTGGATTATCAGTACTGGGCCGCTCTTCTCCCCCTGCTTCGTAGCGGTTCTTCTGGTTCAAATGAACACGCCGATTGAAACTGACCTATGGCGGCTTCCGTTCAACACACATTTCGCTAACTACGCGAGATCTCAGGAACATGTGGCTTTCTACCTTTGCCGTTTTAAGATAATGGTTAATAATAAAGAACAAAATAAACATAATAGAAAAATAGGTCGACAAACATACCAAAAAACAAGAATGATAAGGATTAAATAACGTTAAAGCAAATGTACACATTCATAAATCAAATAAATATCTACAATATGTGAATGGGTTTTCATTTCTAGGTCTCCAATAAATTATAGTTACCGCTGCAAACCCACACACAAGGCTAGATTACTAGTTCAAGGAAAATCACACGAGGCACGGAACCCTCTTCTGGAACAGCGGTCAAGTCAGCCTCCACTTCGAAAAACACGATCAAGTACTATTTTTTGTGGTACGTGTTTATACTAGGCATTACGGTAGGGGTATGCCAGAACTGACTTCAAAATAAAATGCTATATTCCGGTGAACGTGATTTCACATTCAGTCAGTCAGTCAATGAATGTATAAATACTGTAACAAATAAGTAAAGATAAATACTTTAATTAATGATGGTAATAAAAGAATTACTACTATCTACGAACTAACCAACTATATTTTAGGGGAAATTGAGGCTTTATCATTGAATTAGTCAAATTTAATAATACAGAATATACTGTATTTCCAAAGACCAATCTACATTTTAAGCACTTAATTGGCAGGCTGTCATTGAGGAAACTTCCCGTTTCCATAGGCCTATTTCACTTCAGAAAGTACACTACCTCAGAATGACACTTGGTTCCCTAAAATGTTTTGGGAAGTTAATTGATATTAAAATGAAACTACCCATTTTCATAAACCAATAGTACAGCACATCAGAGTGCCCCTCAGACAATACAAAACTCAGTGTCACAAGACAAAGTCCTTTAAGTTGTTTTTAATTGGAATAAAGGCTGCATTATTTCACTTGCTTTTAAACCCATTTCGTATTAGTTTCTACTGTTACCATTCTATCTTGCTCTTTTGGAAATTAATTCTTTATTATTAGGTTTGACAAATTATTCACACAACATAAATGACAAAGCCTCAATTTTAAGTTTTTAGGCAGTAGTTATTTTTTATCAATGTTATTTCTATTTAATACTTAATATTTAATTATTTCTTGTAAGTTATATATTTTACGTATTTTTGTTATTTATTTGTTTGATTATTCATTATTGATAGACTGACTGAATGGATGTGAAATCAGATACACTGAAAGATCGCTTTTTATTTTGAAATCAGTTCTTGCACGCCCTTACTGTAATGCCTAGTATACACGTACCGCAAAATAAAGTTGAGGTTCGTCAGTCACATTACAGTATCTGAAAGTTCGAAATGCACCATATAAATTAATAAGATAATTACTTCTAAATAGATGTCTATGGTTCTTGTTTATTAGTTTTGTCTAAATCAAATATCAAGTGAAATTTGTGGCCTAAAAATTCACAAGATTAATTAAAAATGATTCACAATTTTTATGTATTTCTTCTGATTATTTTATTTTTTACATTTTATAAATATAGTTATTAGCTTACAAGGTGTTCAAATGATCATGTAATTTTTATTGCTGATATTTTGCAAGAGTGTATCTTACAAATGCATTTCAACACTGTTTTTAGTAAAGAATTCTATATGCACCTTCATTGACACTATTGGGTTGTTCTGTATATGCCACATGCTGTTGGATTAAGTGATGTCTGCTATGTATTGTCGGTTTATATGTTTTGTTATTAGGTGTAATACCTAACATCATGGCTGTGTGATGATTGTGTTGGAACTGTGACATATTCCACTGGCATTGCTGTGTTTTCAACATGAGGTGCATTAAATAGGTCAGAAACTCTGCTGCTACTCAAATGAATGCCCCGGGACTGGGCATTCATTCAACATTTCCTGATGACACCTGACTGAAATTAAGTTAAAATTAAATTACATTAAACATGTTATTGATTGATAGTTGCTTTATATTTCCACAACCAGGTTCAACATGGGGGACTACACATGAGTTGTAATTGAAATAGAAAAAGTAAAAATTAAACCAAAGTGAACACCAAATGGAAAATTAAAATGTAATCAAACCAAATAGGCCTACTAAAATAAAAAAAGTGCAAAAGGTGGAAGCCAGGGTAGAGAAACTGGCTGACAGGTCATGAGTTTTACTAGGCAAATTTCTCTAATCACCTGAGTCCACCCTCCAGGGTCCTGCAGAGAAAGGCTTCAGAATGCCTGCCTAGAGGATCATCATCTAAAATCACATTTCCACATTGAACATTTTCTGCACATAAAAAAACAACATACACCTGATTTGAATGTCCATGAGCCAATGTGGAGACATCATCAAGTTTCCAGTATTTCCGAAGCAGTGGGCATGAAGTGCTTTTCATAACCTGATGTAAGCTGTTCTTCCTCTGATGAGCTCCAACAATCATCCCTGTCCTCCTCCTTGTCCCTCTCCTCATCAGAGTCTACCATTTTGCTGTAGTCCTTTCTTCCATATCTGTGGTCTGTCCTGCCACCCTGCTTTAAGACAGCATTCTCACTCTGATCATCTTGGCAGTCCATCTGTGAGCAGCCATCTCTCAGAATTGGCCTTGTTAATCCATCAGTGTCAGAGGTTTTCTCCGGGGAGGACATGACAGCCCCAGGCTGGATTTCAACAACCTCCAATATAGAGATATTGGGATGTTGTTCATTGACGGGGATACAGATCCAAGCCAAGGAGTCATTTATCTGCAGGGAGGTCACACACAGACACATTTTGGTAACACACGGTAAGAAACTTATAAACAGGTTAAGCAGTGACTGGTGAAATAGCAAAATAATGGCATTATTTAGGCTCAACATTTAATGTAAACCCTGTTCTTAGATAAGACCAAGGCTCACAAAGGGCAAAAAATCCTATAATTTCAGTAAGTCTCTCACCTGGTGCTTCATCTGTCTGAAGATGTGACTATTGCTGGGATCTGGCACTTTCTCACAGAAACATGAAGTCACCAGTGGACACACTTTCTCTCCACGACAACAACTAAGACAGAGTAAAATGACATAAGACAGACACTCTTCACAATCTCACAAACTCTACAGAATGATGAAGATTAATTTAAAATGTAATCTTATGATGTACCACGCCAATGGATGAGACAAGGGTAAGAGAATAGATATTCAGAAATACAAGTCAAAGATAAGTTGTTGAAGATGATTTTCTCACCAGAGTAAAACAAGAATGCATATTACAACCAGCAGAACCACCAAAGATGGTACAAGCACGGCTGGTATCAAATGCACTAAGAAAAGAGAGAGAAATTAGAGAGATAAACCACTGAATGTGTCAATATGATTAATATGATTAAGACACTTCTTACATCTCTTAGAAACTCTTATAATATTTTATGATACATCTCATACTAAGTGCAGATACAGTCAAAAAGGAAAGAGTTGACATGTGATGCAATACCAAAATTTTCATCCTGTTTAGTTTTGAACTTTGTGGTGACATTTGCTCCAGGCCCGGCTACAGTCACAGCTCTTATCGACACCTCGTATTCCTGGCCTGGATTCAGATGCTTCAGCTCAAAACTCTTAGTTTCATGCTGTGTGGCACTGACATTGTAAACTAGGAGAAACAAATTGTTTGGAGTGAGTTTGAGTATTTAGAGAATAGCTGGCAGAGATGGAACGAACTACTACTTGAATATTACTTTAGCTTTTTAAGTACATATATATATATATATATACACATATACACATACATATATACATCTATATATATATATATTTCAACCCCCCCCCCTTTACTTATTACTACAACTGTAATATATATTGTGACAGTGTGTACCATTTTGTCTGTCTAATCCTATTTGGTAGTATTGGATCACCCCATTCCGCTCGAACAGGGGAACAGGCTCCCAAAGCAGGGACACTTGAGTTGGAGCAATGTCAATCACATTAAATGATCGCACTCTGGAGGGAGCTGAAAAGCGATTGAGAAAGGAACATGACAATTACAAGTTTATCTTCCATTTAACATGAAGAGATGTGAAATTTAGCTGGCGAAAAACAATGCATTAAAACTTACTTCCTTCAAGAGAATATCCAATAACTGATGAGAGGTGATGGACTTCCAGACTTTGTGATACTGAGAACAGTGACACTTGGAAGGGTGTGACCTTTTTAAATGGACCTGTAGGTGGAGACACATACCAGAGTAGAACAGACACTCTGAAAATAGCCAGCACAAGTACACCTCCTTTAACATAAACGCATTTGCTTAGAGTCCTTGACATTTTTAAGAATTCACTTTTCAAGCTCAAAATGTATTAAGTGTGTAATCATTTCCAATTATTCCAGTTATTGCTAAAAAGAAAGTATCCTAATCAAACAGACCTTTAAAAAACACTGTTTGGGTTTTCTTCACTTTGATCCAATCAAATCCTTTGCCTGTAGGACTCCCGCCTTGTTTGTACTGCACCACATATTCCTTCAGGTTGTCAGTGTGCTGAGAGGGCAGATCCCAGGACACTGTGAGGTTCACTTCATTCATGTTGAGTTGAATAACTTGTTCATTTTTCTCTTTACCTAAGAAAGACAAATGCTTTGTTAGTTCTGCTGAGCCACAGTAAAAGTATAATTGTAAAATTGTTGTAACATCATTTTCGAGACAGAACCGTAACTTTCAAACAGTGGCTATAACCTTAACTATAATTTTTAAGTTTTAATAGTAATTTTTTTTTTTTAATAAAGTGCATATTAAACATCACAGCACAAGGTCTGGGGCTACATTCACAAAGTGTCTTATATATCTACTTGGAATCCTCCTAATTCAGCCAGTTAGGAGCTACTTTAAGCCTTAGTTGTGAATACTTATATGAAAGTGGGGGCAACTTATACCTGGTACTGGCATAACTAGATGAGAAGGCTCTGTGGCACCATAAGTGTTGAAGGCTGACACATTGAACGATGACACATCCTCCAGAGAAGTGTTGAGCTGGCATTGCATTTTATTGCACAATCTGCTGCTTTCCTCAGTTGAAGACACATTTGTGCCGTTGTTGTAAAACAGAGTAACTGCATATCCCAGAACACTGCATGCCTGAGATGCAGCAAGGTTCTGGATGGAATAAAGACAGGTAGATGACAGCAATGGATGAGTCTACATAAAGTGAGATCCTGGTTCATTATTCTAATCAGTTAATAACGATTGTGGATAACTTGTTTACCTACCTTCCAGGTCAGAGCACAGTTAAAGCTTGCAGGGGATGTCCCACAGTCCAACCATATATCTGGCTTTCCAACAGGGTCTGAACAAGAGGTAAAAGATCTTTTGTTTTAGTAGAGAAAATGGTTATTTAGTGAGCCATAGAGGTGTTGATAGGTGGATTTTGTAACCTTAATCAGAGCCAGGCTAGCTGCTTTCCCCTGTCATGGGTGATAGTCTTCTTGTGTTAGATTTTGCTGTTTTGCTTGTGGAACTGTCATTTCTGTTCATTAGGTCTGTTTGAGATCATCCACTTGTCAAGGGGGGATACCACCTCCGTCTACTCTGCGCACCCCGGGACGTCCCACTTAAGCTGGAGCACGCTCTTTCAGCTGGTCCCTCCTCCTGTGTTTTTTGTGCCCTAACCACCAATCCCCAGCCTCCTGACTAATTGCGAAACATGATAAAAGCCACATTGTGAAGGCACCAGAGGCGGCTGTGATTTTGTTTGCTTTATGATTTGGTGCCAGTCACTGCCTTTCCCTTTGCTCCTGGCCTCCTCTCTGTGTTCTCTTTCTGTTATTTGGTTATTGACCAAAGAGTTTCCATTTCTTTACCTTACATTTGAATTTTTGGCTGTCTGAACAAAAAAATGTTAAACTATTCAACAATTAAAAAGAATGACTAAAAACAAGAAAGAAACTATAATATAAACTTCCCAAATGAGGACTCACCTGTTTCCGTGCTCTTTATTCTGTGGATTGTACTCCAGTCACTTATTAAGCCTGTTGTACAGGCGCAGCGAACTTGAATTTCATAGATTGTGCAAGGCTGGGGACTTTCAATCATATGCATGTGAAAGAGTCCACTCTCATACTGTGTAGAAGAGGAAAAGAAGGAGATTGAACATGCATTCAGTGGACACAGTTTTAGTCACAGTTAATAATATATAGTTTTTCTTTGACCTGTTTTCAGGACTTTGATTCATTCCCTGTCCCCTCACTGTCAGCATACTCCATCACACAGTGTGGTCGATCCAATACAACTGTCCTTCCTTTATAAGCATTATAATGTTCAGTTTTGATTGAATCTGGGTGTCGATTTGTTTTAATGGTCATTTAGGATTTTGTGGTGTTGTTGAACTGTCCTGGGTTATATTAAGAGGTTTCCTAATATTTTGTCAACCACAATTCACATAAATGGGATTGAGAAAATATTAGGAACACCTCTCAGTATAACCCAGTAGAGTTCAACAGCACCACAAATTACAGCCTCCAAAATAACCAGAAGTGACATGATGATGATGATGATTAAATCATTGAATAGGATATTGAACTATCAATGAGAAAAGTACATTTTGAACAGGCACTGCACTAGTACTGAATGAAGTAAAAGAGGCAAGACAAAATCAAAAGAAAAGACACCTCAAGCCAAACTCGGTCTGCCTCAATCCGATTCCGGACATAACAGGTTCCCACAGAGAAGCCCAGTTCATCACAGAAGGAATCCCACTCAATCTCTATTGACTTCTGCTGCCTCAGTGTGATGTTAGGAGGTGGTGGCTTGTCTAGAGACAGAAACACATACACAAAACAATTTAATTTGAAAATCAAAATCAATCATTGAAAGATAAATTACAAGTCTGTACCAACTTTTTCACTCAAACAGGTTCTGATTCTGCTAGTCAAAAGGGCCTCAAGTACTCCTATTATATTCATCATTATTATTATTGTCTTTGGTGGTGGTGTCTGTACTCATGAATGAGAATTTGGAGGACTGACTCACTGATATCTGCTATGTTGAGGACAACTGTTTGAGACGTGGTGGAACCATGACTGTTCTTAGCCTCAACCCAAACAGAAATCTTTCCGTGGTTGGCAAAGTCTTCACGATCGATTACTGCACTCGAACCCGTCTGACTGTTCACATACCTGCCCCTGGAAGACAAGACAAAACATGAAAACATGATGAGATGGATAAAACTAAACCAGATTATCAGATTATTGTCATCAACACTTTAATGATATCATATGGCTAAAACAAGGAATATTTATGGTTGTGATTACTCGCTGATTGCTGGTTCCCAGTGCAGGCTGTAGGTTGTGGGGAAATGAGGGTCCGGCCTTGGATCCCAAGCACAGTGGATATCTACATTACAGCTTTCCTCATCACATGGGAAATAGCACTCAGGACGAGAGGGACGAGTAGGAAGACCTGGAGAAACAGATAGTAAGGGATAAAAATAAAAGCGATTAATAATTAATAATATGATTATAATGATTAACAGATTAATCATCATAATCATATTATTTCAAAACTCATTCAAAAAAATAAATGGAAACATTATCTTGTGACAAAGACAGTTTCAACAAAAACTGAGCATTATGAATTTTATGAAGGTAGCATTTATTGCAAGACTGTGGTATTGGACTATGTTAGTTTTAGGTAGTTGTACCTAATAAACTGGCAATGTAGTGTTCTACTCTATAACCATGACATCTGAAGTCAGTCTGAATTAAAACACCACTTGGCATCTTGTATAAAGAGCTCTTAAAAAGTCTGTTGTACTATCCAAAAACAATACATGCAGATCCACTGGCTCCCATAGTAGGAAAAGATTTGTGAAGTTATTGGCAATGGCACATACTGAAATGTTTAATCCAAAATTCAACCACCATGTGTCATAGCAGATGCATGTAAATGGCCTCAAGAAAACAAAATAAATACTACACTTTGCTGCTAGAATCTTTAAAATTTCTCTGAAGCTCATAACTTAAAACTCCTTTGTGAATCTACTGTCAATTTTTGGCTGTTTTACTTGTGCAAATGAAATGTAAAATTCCTTTGAATATTCATTACTGTTTTAGTAAGATACATTTAACTGTCAAAATAAAGAGGCAAAAAGAGAGAGGCAGTGACTACAGAAGATGAAAGACATGAAAAGAGCTAGAAAGTAACAGATATAAAGCAACCACATAAGTAACCACAAGAAAAATGCAGAGTCCTACTAACTCATACATGTATCTGCCAATCCCTGCAAAGCACACCTTTTTTTCTTGTTCATCACAAGACCTGTTCACCTTCACCCATTTCTTGTAACCGTGTGAGATTTTAGCAGTGATCAATTGATGTGTGTATGCAACACATTGCAGGGAAGCACACTGTTGGTAACAGTAACAGGAAATGAGCACTTTGATCAGTCTGGGTCCAAATAACTGCACCTTTCCTTTGTCACCACTTCCTCTTCAGTAAAGACATTAATGTTCAAATAATGGGCATGTGGCCCAAACAATCCTTTATCAAAACAGTTTACACTCGATGTAATGCTTTCAGTGAAAGCAAAACATGTGCTGTACATATAACCCTCAGCCCATTCTTTATTATAGCCTGTGTCTGTTTTAAAAACACATAGTCTTTAGTGTCAGTATGATATATATATATATATATATATATATATATATGTTTGTTGTAGGGAAAATTAGTAGTGGTTGTATTTAGACTTTTACTTTACTTAGGTTAGACATACTCCTTTATATTGCATTACCTTATAGGCATCATTTCTAATTGAGCTAATTGGACATATTTTGTCTGTAAAATTTTACTCTAAGTAGTAGTAAGAAAGATTAAGAAGACGGCCAATATTTTTCTCTGAATGCAGTGGAGTGTGACGTAGCGTTAAATTGAAACACAGACAAAGAGAGACAGAGAGAGAGAGAGAGAGGGAGAGAGAGAGAGAGAAAGTACAAGCACGTAAAAATAAGCACAATTGTATTTATACATAATGTGAGTAATATGAGAACCTTGGATAAGACTACCTGTGGGAGTACAACAATTTGGTAGGTTGACCAGCAACATGGACAGAAGCCACCTTGTCCTTAGTGTAGCCATTACATCTGGACCCTGGCCTCTAGTGCCTGTGGAAAACACAAATAAACATACATACACAAAGACAATGTATATGTAACCACATGAGCTATAGCCTGTTTCAGCTACATTCTTCAAAGCAGGCACGTTGTTAGTGTTTTTAAAACCGTAAATACAGTGAAGTGTAAGAATATGTATAGTCGGCGTCGATACTCTGCAGTTTGGCAAACCGACAGACTATCTGCCATAAACATTCATGTTACTGTATATTTTCTCATAAATTAAATTATTATTAAAATCAATGTGGTATCGAGCTAATACGTGCAAGCATTTTGATGTGAACGGTCCAAATACTCCGTATAAGTGAAAAGTAGCAGAATCCGGAGTTCGTACCTGAATATTGTTCTTTCTTAAATTACAGCAAGCTCTTTTGATCTTCAATATTAGCTAACTCATAATAGTTATTAATTATAAATGATTTACCTCATTATGAGACACACTGAGATGCCAGTTGTTCATTTTGTTGCGGTATAAAGCACAGATACCTGATAACTTTGTTGTGGAGTCGAACTTGTGTGTTCTGTTAGCCGGTAACCCCGCCCATTTCTGGAATTGCCAGTGACGTAATATACAAGCGCGCGCCCACGTTAACACACACAAAAGATTAGAATTCACTTGTCCCCTATTTCACACAACGCGGTCTGACACGCTTCCTGCACACGGGTTGCTGCAAGTTTAGAAACGTGCTCGTGACAATTGGCCCGAGTATCTTCACTCATACAACATTTTATTCAAACTTACTGATTATATGATGGATAAATGTAACTCATCAGTACATTTAATTAACTACTGCACTGAAATATACATTGTTGGGGTCGTATTTAATTTCACTGTACATGGCACTTTCATTATTTCCCCAGACACCCAGTAGCCACCCAGCACAGAGCTGAAATGATCAGTTGATAAATTGACCAGCTGATTCACAGAAAATCAAATAATCACTAAGACCTGGTATCTAGTTGTTGCTATGTTAGAAGCAGATTGTTTAAGTCCCATAAGACTTCAAAGTTCTTCAGACTTGTTCTAGCAAAGTCCCCAACACCCTGTCACTTGTTTGTGGTTAGTCTTACCAACTCATGCACCACCCATGTCTTGATGGAGATGCTCCAAACCAGTCATCTGGCTATGATTGTTTTAACATTTGTATATTTATCAAGTAGAACTTTTTTTTTCTACACTCCATCATCATCATCATGACCCCTCAGATAAATCTTGTGACCCTCAGGATGGGGCTTAGCCCCAAGGTTGGGAGTCACTTAACTAAAATACCTAACTGTATATTAAGTAGTTAAAATTAGCTCCAACCCAAGCAGCTGCAACAGTAATATGTTGCTTACACATTGAGGCATCAGTATTAACAATCTATCAATGTAATATATAATAGTATCTATTATATTAGTTAGCAGGGGTCATTATTATAAAGATGAAGATCTTTTGATACTTGAACTACATTTTGCTAATTATACTTCTGTACTTTTATTCAAGTTGTATTTTGATTGTAAAACTTTTACTTGTAATGGATTAATTTTGCATTAATGTAGTGGTATTTTCACTTAAGTAAAGGATCTAAATACTTCCTCTACCCCTGAAAATTTCTCTGTCTAAAAATATGTTGTTATAGATGATCTATCAAATACAAAAAATGCAAGGGCAGAACATTTTAGGGAAAGTAAGACTTAATTTAGAAAAGAAGATAAATCATTAAACCATATAGCTGTGTACTGTGAAACAAATTAAAAATTCCAACAAAGTACTTATAACTTACAAACAAGATGAGACATTATTAGACATTAGTGATTTTTTATGCTGCTGTCAAATATTGTTAACAAAGCATTTTATTCCCTTGAGTTCTCAGGTGCACAATTCAGATGTTAATGCAAAATAGATAAATAAATAAATAAAATTATTATCATCTGTTTGATAGTGGTTGGTAAGGACAAAACAGCTTGGCTCAAGATTGAATACTTAAGGCTGCTCATTACAAAGCCTGGAATGCATTTTCTTAACAGAAATATATAAACATTTTGAGCACATGGCAGCCCTTTCCATACACTTCATAGATACTAAAACATAAAACAACATTTCAAACTCATGTCATGAGTTAACTGAAAGACACTGGACATAAAATCATACAAAACAACCTAAAATTAATGAGAATTGGAAAAACCACTGTAAGTGTGTATGTATTTATATGTCTGTTTGTGTAATAATGTATATAATATGCCTGCCGATGTATCCACTCAGATGGCGAAGGTCAACTCTCAACAAAGTGAGCTGATCTCACTCTTGCTGCAGCCCCACTTGCAGCAGGCATTGGACAGACCCACCACCACATCCCGGCCTTTGCGGTCAGCCTTGCGCAGGGCTTCTAGGATCTCCTCAGTGATGAAAGAACGGGTCGGCCTGCTAAATATTCCCTCCTGGTTGTCTCTAGATGTGAAGCTTAGATCTCTGTTTCTTTGGAGAAGACTCTCCACCACCGAATTGTGACTCAAACCCTCTGAGGACTCATCCTGACGGGAGCTAAATGGGTCCTCTGAAACATCTGCTGCCATAATGGATAAAAGCAGCATTAGAGAATACCCACGCTTGTCTCTTATACCCAGCAAGTCAATAACAGTTCTTTCTTTTCATTATCTGCATTGTTATTAAAAGAATTGCTGATGATGGCATGATGGAGGGAGTGACAGCAAAAATGCCACATTTACCAGGTTTACAGCCAATAGAATGTAACATACAACTTATGGCAGGGTCAAAGGCTCAAATAAACATTTGGGCGGCGGGTGTTTTATCAGTACATAGCTCAATATAGTGTATCTGATTTAGATTATCCATTAACACTGACTGGGCCAACTACACTAAACAAAATGAACATTCAATAAAAATATAATTAGTACAATTATCTGTCATTCTGAGCTTAAAATTACATATGATTTCCTTCTCCCTCCATTGAAGTTATCACAATTGCACACAATCACAAATGAGCATTAGAAAGTAACAATAGAAACTTAATTGTGGACATACAGTTAATTCACAGGGATCCAGAAAAATCAGTGATTATCACAACATCACAAATTGGAGGAAAAGTGCATCTCATACAATGAATGGATATGTTTTAGTCAACATATTAAAATATACGTAAGTAATAGATGAAATCATAAAAGATGCGGATAAAAGACATCACAAGGTTAATAATGGTGAAGATGTAGCATGTTCCGTCTCACCTGTGCTCTTGAGTGACCGTCTCCATCGTGAGCCCCCACAAGTGAAGATGACTGCTCGGATGAACTCCCGGCCACAGAGCTTCACCCCATATGTTGGGTCCTCCATGGGCTGAACCCCAGCCACCAGCAGACACACAGCCAGTACTGTAGCTTTCCACATAGTACCGCAAGGAAATTAAGCAAGCAAAAAGTAGTTAAAATTACAGTTGATTATTTGCTTTGAGCGACACTTAGCTTTCTGTCTCCCTGTTTGCAAGAGCTATGCCTCTCTAGGTGACCCAGGCGTGGTTTATAAAGGGGTTTGGAGCCCTGCAAGGGAGACATACATACTGCGCACGCAAGCCTTCTCTGAGAGAAGAACAGATTTGAAAGAGAGATAGAGTCAGAGACCTTTATGGAGACAAAAAGCGGACCAAAGGTGGCATAATTAATGAATATGTCAAAGGCCTCTATGATCTAATAGTATCTCAGCATGTGAAGCACTGTTGACACCTTCAGTGTCCCTGAATATAATGACTTCATCAGATCTCACTTACATTTAATATGTAAAACATTGTACAGCCATTGGTCATGAAGTGATTGCGGATATGGGAAGCACATTGAGGTTAAAAATGTCAAACAAAGGCAAATGATGTGACACTTTGAAAGAATTAAACTTTTAGCATACTGACCAATTACAATTCTTTCTCCATCTGTGTGTTTCTCATAGGGAATGAGTAGCTTAGGGATACTCAACACAAAAAGCCACTGAGTCCTAAAAGAAGGGATGCATCATGAAGTACTTCTTTCAAAAATAAAAATAAAACATGGTGAACTGACATTGCCTTAACACATGAAATAAATCATTCAGGCCTAATCACGCATATTGCCATGAATTCCACTGATAAGACTTAACACTCGCTGACACCACTACAGGGATATATTAGGCCATTGAGGCTGATATCACAAATATTTACATCAGCATTGCCATTTTTATTCCACACACGACCCTGTGCAACTTCCATATGTAACATTTTCCTTTTCTCTTGGAAATCGCTTATTCTGTCATCTCTTTGCCAAAAGGTGAACTGGGAGGACTGAGACAGAACCAGTGACATTTTCAAAGTCAGATAACATAGAAGTCTTATTATGAGTCAGACTAAAATAAAACACATTTTTATCTGTGTATCCACATAGCCAAAGGTCGCTCGTTTAGGAAATTACAATGGAGATGATGAATTTGTAATTAATGTGACGATAAAAAGAAAACAAAATGGCATTTTAGGGGGGTGTCCACCCTGACACTGATTAACACAGTGTCATAGAAGTGACCTGTGGAGGTTATGGGAGCAATATCAAAATGCTATGGACCATACTTTTTTTTTTTATAAATGTTTGTTTTATGGACAATTGACATTGTAGATGAAACTGTATATTTTGGTCCCACATATTGTATTATTTGTTTTTGCCTGTTTTGTTTCAATACACAGATGATAGCATTTATACTGTATTTTATTCTGTTATGGCTGCATAGCTATAAAAACTGATTTAGGGTTTGCCAACTGGCTAGCCTGGGCTATAGCTGTAATTGGGCTGTTTTCTTGTTTTTTTTATTATCCTATAATGTTGTACAATAGTGATAATGAGAACATTGGTTTGTTTGCAATGCTGGAACTAGAAGTAAATGTAGTTTTACTTTCAAATCATTCTGAGAGAAAGTGGGTGTGTGTCCAACACATTTGTACAATAAATCTACAGTACAAAGGAAGAAAAGAATTACTTAAACACAAACTGTCACAAGAATTTGTATTATATTGTTTATTATCTCATAAAGGTCAAACTACAGGACCCTGAAACCATTCGCTGACTAAATTCGGTTTCAGTGTATCAATTTGTACTACACTGATATGTCATCACCCCATGGTCATCACCAAAGACAAATGGTAGCACATATGCACAAACTGTATTGGCTATAACCACTCTATTTTACATTTTAGATAAAGTTACTGTGATACTATCAATCATTATTACTTTCACTGGAATAGCATCCACCGCAGTTGCAAAAATTGTATTATGATAGACAGGGATTTTCCACAAATGGGCGTGGGAGGCTTTGTAGTAAAAAAAATTGCTGTCCCTGTGACTTTAAGACAATTTGGCATCGCTCAGCCAATCAGATCAACGAAGGGGGAGGGAAGGGAGCGGGTGGGTAGCAACAGTTGCCCTGGTGAGGACGAAGCGCCATAGCCACGGTAGCCCTGGCGACAAGAACCCAGCAACGAGAATCAACAACAACAACAACTGAATCCGCCGTAAAAATTAAAGAAGATATTTTACCGTGGGGAAATACACACGTGGAACTAGAGGTGAAGCTCTTAACGTTGAGGAAATAATTTATGTCCACTAATGATTCAGCTGAATTGTGCTATTGCTTTTTCCCTTGTTGTTTCAGTAGCCATAACAGGCAACTGGCTCCCAGTGTTAGCTGAGGTTAGCCTGCAAGCTAGCAGTCGTAGTGATAATCAGTCGAGTCCGTTTCTTGAATGGGGTGGTTTGTGCCCGCTTCTCATTCGAGTGACAGTGGATTGTGCCTGCCATGACGACGCAGCCACAGATGCATACTCAGGCAGGCCGTTGTTATGGCGATGTCAAATGCAAAAGGTACAAAATGGCGGTTGTTGTAGAGACCAGTTAGCTTGCTGCCCGTGTTACCTTGCTAGGTAGCTAGCATCAGTGCTGTCACGACAGACTTGTGCTCGCAACTGCTTACAGCTAGCGGAACGAGTTACCAGTAACGGACACTCGTCTTTTTAACGGTATTTTGCGTGCAGTCTATGGCGATTCAACACATTATGCTTTTTCCAATAGCCGAGTCAACATAAAACCAAGTCTCCGGGTACATAACGTTAACTACCCAAAAGGGAGGCCAGATTGGGATAGTCAAGTTAAAAGTGTAACTAGTAACTACTCAGACAGTTTTGGGGTTAGTGTGGAGGCAGGGGAAGAGTTGGGGCAATCACTGGCAAGCGAAATGTCTTTCTCTCCACAATGGAAACTTAAGAAAGCTGGGGCAGGTGGCGGACATTTAACATCCAAGGGGTGTGGCGAAGAGGGGCGTTTTGCAGGTGCTTAGTAGGTCCGAGTTCAGTTTAGCTGGTTTGTTCGCTGCTTGGCTCCATGACCCACTCTATATCTTTGTAAAAAGGTTTCTTGTTGCCAATTGACATTTAACGCATTTGGTTTTAAAAGCACGGATTGTAATAAACTTTTCCCGCAACAAAGATAACAAAGATACACGAAGTTTATAAATTAATGTCAAGGTGTACGTGTTCTTTTCATAATTGTGCGTGACACAAACCATACCAACAGAATGTACTGCAGTATCAATGCAATGTGATAAGGGATTTTCCCTACTTGTGCCACGGGCATTCATGTATATGTGAAAGACCATAGGCTGTGTGATCACATTACAGGTAATGAGACACCAAAATGCTTGTTCCAGTCAATGCTCCTCCCCCACACATTAGATGCACCACCAATATGTCAGCCACAGTAATACTTTCAGAAAGAACACGGTTACTCATTAAGTTGCATGTAGGCTACATATGAGAATTTAGAAATATTCCTGATGTCTCCAAGATATCAACTGTTGACCACAGGTTGATGTTACAAAGTAAGGGAGGGGAGGGGTTTGTGATCAGATCCACATCTGATGTTGATGACTATTTTACACTTGCACTTGTTGGAGATAATACAACAAAAATTACTGGCCTGATGTTGAAGTGTCGCGCATGCATTTTTACAACTACAAGCTCCCCACTCTGAAATATTAATGAATAACTCTGTACTACTAGTTACACTACCAGACCAGTTGTCTAAATATTGCTTATTTGCACAGACCGTGTACTTGAATTTTGCACTTGACCTTGTTGAATGAACTTTTACTCTGGCCATCATGCCATACTCATTGTTGGTGTTATGTGTGTCCTTGGACATACGTGTTTAGGTATAGCCTGACTGCAAATCAATTTCCCTGTAAGGGACAATAAAGACACTTTGAACTTTGAACATTTGAAAATAATATTTTACTACAAGCTGTGATTCATTACATTTTATTCTGCTCCATTCTTCAAAATTGAGTATTGTATCCTTACCCTGTATCCCCTGCCTGTTTCTATCTGAATGACACAGCAGCTTGAAAGATCAAATGACATTAGGTTAGTCTAACCAACATTTCCACAACCTGGAAACAAACAGCTACCGTATATTTATTCAGGATAGATAGACAGATAGATAGACTTTATTGATCCTGTGAGGAAAATTGTCAACCTTGGATGAATTCAAATCAGTACATCCTTAATATTTACTAGACATGTTTAACTAGTCACTTTGTTCTTTTTCCTAGGGTGATTCCCAGCTTTTGTAATGGCCTCCTCAGGCTACGTAGGTGAGATCCAGCCGGCAGCCCAACCCCAGGGGGCTGGTGTTTCCGTCACACCGGGGCAACCTGACACCAGCTCCACTCCTGCAACTGCCCCTCAGTTTCTTGCTGAGATTCAGACTACTGTGGCTACTCCCACTGTTGTCACACCCACAGGCCAAGCTACTCCCACTGAACAAGCCACTTCCATCACCACTCAAAAGCCTGCAGCTGGTAGTCAAGCCCAGTCCACAGCACAGGCCCAGCCAGCTCAGACTCAGTATGTAACTGCAGAGATCCAGGGCTCCCCGACACAGTCTGGAAATGCTCAAAGCACTCCCCAGTACATTGTTGTTACAGTTACAGGTAAAGGCTGAACATTACATACCACTATATGCTTTTGACTCTAACATAGACCAGACCAATTTAGAGCTTTGCAATTATACATGCATAGAAGCACCACTTTACTAATCAATCCATATTTTAGTGGTTACGCCTCATAAAACTGGAGTTCTTGTGCTTAAAGACTTATGTCTTATAAATTGAAGTGATTGTTTTTAAATGTCTTCTATAATTTTTGTAATATGTTTTTTATACATTATAAAATGTCCTGACTTTATCAAAATTAAGAGGCAATCAGTTAATATATTAAAAAGTTCTATTGAATGTAACTAAATTACTTTTACACTAACAAATAAACACATTAGTTGCCTCAATACAATATTCCTTGTGCTGTGTTTGTTGTTAGCAACTTTAACTATCATGCCTAAAAAAGTTTGTAACTTTCCTGAAAGGTGGAATGGACTGGCAGTATCTCATCCACCTCATGAAAGTAAAATAATCATGTTGTGAGCTTGTGAAGATACTTACATTCGCTCTTTGTCCTTCAGAGGGCTCTCTTCACTCAAGTGACAGCGTGTCGGACTCTAGTCCCCCTCCAGCTGTGGTGCAGACAGGAGTTCCCACACAGGTTGTTCAGCAGGTACAGACAGCTCAACAGGTAATATACATTAATTCACACATGCAAAAGCACAACACGAAGTTAATGTGTCCTTGACTCTGGAACTAAAGAGCATCTTTATCTTAGCAGAGGTCCGTGGTGCAGGCCACCGCTCAGATAGCCAAGACTGAGCCAGGAACCCAGCTCAGTGTCACTAGTCTACAGCCTGTTCATATCAGCCAGGAAGTAAGTTAAACACACACACACAGTAGCACAATTCATCATCGATGGTCAAATATGATGTCTGACAATCATTTGTACCATCTCTGACTTATACACGTTATTGGAATACAATATTTCCAGCACAAAGAGTGGATAACATTTGCCCTCTGACACATCCAAAATTTTACAGCTACTGCACATTTCGGCTAACTATTAGTCAACTAATCACACCATGGTCAAACCTGCCTCTGCTGGTTTCCAGCTCCTCCCTTCCACAGAGGTGATAGCGTTAGTCAGGGAAAACAGTCTAGAAGAATGGCAGGTGCGTGATGAGATAGGACAGCCGGAGGGCCTAGTCTGGGCATCAGCAAACTACATAAAAGACTGGTGCAGCAAGCCCTCCTGCTTCCCCTTGGATCTCCTTCAGTATTACCAGTCACTGTTCCTGCATTCTGTGCGTGTGGAGAAAGAGACAGGAACCCACCCTGCAGTCCCCAGCTTAAGCCCAGATCAGCCACCACTGCAGGCTACAACTACCACTTTCCAAGTAGGTCAGGAACACAAGGGAGACTGCTACTATAGAGTTAAGGGAACAGAGAATCTGCCTGACAAAGAAATTTAAAAAGAAAGTTAGAAAGTTAGAATTGTAAAGGGACTATGTGTGAAAGCTTTTAGAATTCTCAAGTGATGATACAGTGAATATGGGCTGAATAGGCGAGCAGGGATTTATTGGATTTGTGTGTGTGTGTGTGTGTGCGCGCGCGCGCGCGTGTGTGTGTGCTCGCTCCTTAGGTCCAGCAGCAGCTCACACCAGTGCCAGTCCAGCACGTGTACACCAATCAAGTTCAGTATGTGGAAGGAGGAGATACCAACTACACCACCAGCACCATGTTAGAATAAAATGTCTATAATTTTATAACACATCCAGACAGAACTTTTATCTTTTTTATGATGTAATTTTCTAACACATCTCTCCATGTTTCTTATCTAGTCGCTCCAGCACCTTTCCTTACACTGACACACCCCTGTACACCCAAACGACAGCTGCCCAGTATTATGAAGGTCAGCCAACATCAGGCTCACAGGCCTCTACCCCTGGCACCCCTCTAACCGTCTCTGTGACTGCTGGCACAACAGGGGCTGTATCCATGTTTGTGGCCCAGCCCACCAGTGCAGCAGGGGGAGGAACCACAGTAGTGACCACAGGTGGCACCACCAATGGGTCAGGGGATGGGGCAGGCACCAACGGTGGCGCAGCAAGCAGCTATGTGATCCAGGGGGGTTATATGCTGGGCAGCAGCAGTGGAGGGGCAACTGGCAACAGTCAGAACTACTCACACACCGCCCGCGCCTCTCCAGCCACTGTGAGTATTACAGAGGGCGAGGAGAGTAGCGTGCCGTCGGCAGACAAGAAGGTATGCAGAGGCGCCAAGCGCAGGAATTTCTTCTCATTTTGTTCTCATCCACACAACCCTTTGGTGGCGCGCACTGATGATGTCATAGTTGAGTTTTGTCAAGTGGAAAGCACAATTAAAAATGTGGGGATTTGTATTAGGACCATAAAATGTGAGCTGTGGGTTATATAATACTATACTTATAGTGATCATAATAAAACTTGTTGTAGCATACAGAATTTTTAACTGTGATTTCCTCCTCAAAGAAAACAAAACCATGACCTCATCATTTTCATATCATTACCGTGCATGTGATGAGGGGCATTTTTAATTTGCCTGAAATGCCCCAGCATTATATTGTTCATCCCAAATTCATCGTATTGAACCTCATATGATAATGGTAAACAAACTATGTTTTGGCAAACATCCCATCAGTATTCCAGGTCATTAATTCATTGCATACCAAAGTTGTATGCCACGGCACGCAAACAAATGTATTTGTGTTTTCATTCGTGAATGATCGACAAACTGTAAATGAGAATGGATTTTTTTTTTAATTTATTTATTTTTTTTTATGTTTGTGTAATTTATTGATTAGAAAAATGTGTGTGCATGTTCTGAATATTAAGCTGAAAAATGTGTGTGATGTTTTTGCAAATAAGTGTGCATATTTATGTGTGCAATGTGTTGAGGTGTGTTTTTGTGTTTGTATCTATTGGCTTTGCTGACTGCACCAGCTGTTTTCTCTTTTTCGTTGCCTGCGTGTCAGGTACAGTGGTTGCTGGACAACTATGAGACAGCTGAAGGAGTGAGTCTGCCACGTTCAACCCTCTACTGCCACTATCTGCTGCACTGCCAGGAGCAGAAACTAGAACCTGTTAATGCTGCCTCTTTTGGGAAACTTATTAGATCTGTGTTCATGGGGCTACGCACACGACGCTTGGGCACAAGGTAAGATGGGTCATCAGACACCTAAACTCAGGTATAGAAGACATGATAGACAATATACACACAAACCCACAAGTTCCCTGTATGACATGCTAGGGTATATATTGACACCCTTACTATTGCGCTAATTTTCAAATGTATTTTTCTGCCTAATTTCTTTCTGCTGACATGCTCAATGATCAGTTTTAAATATCAACATGATATCACAGAGAGAGCAGGCAAACAGAGACAGAGTGCACTGCAACTGCAGAGACAACACTTTTCCCCACAATCTTCCTAACACAGCAGTGCACGTCAGCAGCAAAGAGCTATATGGCAAACTATTCGTTTCACAGACACCAGCTCTATACATATAATCCATATGCATGTAGATCTCAGTTATTGGATATATTCAAAGTTTCCCTACGGAAGAACAATGAAGATTTTTCCAGAAAAAATCTACAGAGCTCTTTGGAGTGTTGCAAAATTTTCAAGTGTAGGAAGAAATGTGGGTAGAGATGAAGACAGACAGCATGTGTGTGGGTGCGTGAGTTTGACAGAGGAGGGGAGAGTGAGGAGGCAAGATTGACTTTTTAGAAATGTTTGGTTATATGGGTTTAATTAAATGATATGATACATTTGGTTATTGTATTTTTATGAAACTAAAGACATACATTTTAAAATCAGTCTTTATTAAGTCTATGTATGTGGCTTTGGAGGTGTGGTTGAAATTCTTATGGGCTGAAGAAATGACGTTCATCAGGAGTTCAGATTGAGATGCCTCAGGCAGAAGTATTTGTTGAAAGCTTGACGCCAAGGAGAAAATGATGAGCAGTACAATGCAGTAGTGAATTGGCGTAATGCCACACCTATTTCCGAAGGTGGTCCTACATATTTATTCCTAGGCATCACATGGTTTGTCTCCATACCTTAAACCGCAAATAAGGCTAATATGTAGTCTTAACCTATATGCTAAGTCTTAACCTGGTCTTTGTCACATTACCTGTGTCTTACCTTTCCCCCTACTTCCAACTCAACCTTGTGTGAAACTGCATTTTGGCAGTTTTCTTTAAATTATGCTTTTCCCCACATCCTTATCTATAGGACCTTGATTACCATAACAATAGAGGATTAAGGTGGCTCCAATTGGACTCTTATTAGTCATAATTGTGACTAAACAGTGAACCACTGTATAACACTATGAGGTCTTTATGACCTGAACTCTTGGAGTGTGGGCCTACAAAATAAGAAAAGACTAGAACCAGAAAAATCCCTTCACAGGAAGAGTTACTTAAGGTTTATATAGACCTCATGTAAAAAATGTTTTTGTAAAAAAATGTTTTTATATGAGGTCCAGTTTCATGTTAAACGTGTTTTATCTGTTCTTGATAGGGGTAATTCTAAATACCACTACTATGGGCTGAGGATCAAGGCAGGCTCATCTCTTCTCCGTCTGATGGAAGACCAGCAACATCTGGCCATGAGGCAGCAGCCCTTCTCACAGAAACAGAGGTACACATGTAAATGTCCCTACACACACACTCAAACACTGATTGTCTATCATTACACCACTGTAACCATTTCTTTTTTTTCCACAAATCTCTTTCCTTCATATTCCTTCATATAGCTTTGTCACTGACTCATGTTTCCCATATATCTTATTTGAGCTCTTCTTACAGTTCCAGGTATTTGTTATATGATAAGACAGAATTGCCATTTTATTTCACTGTATCGTTCATTGTCTTTGTCTTGTCCTTGTTTCAACTAGGTTGAAGCCTGTGCATAAAGTGGAAGGAATGACCAATGGCACAGCATCAGGAGCAGGCCAGCAGCAGCAACAGCAGCAGGGGTCAGGACACGTGGACATCAGCACCCAGGTTCAGCAGTACCAGCAGTTCCTTGGTGAGTTCAGTGGACAGTGAACAAATACCTAGAGGTATGAAAGTGATGATGTTAAGGATTTAACTAAAAGAAAATTTGTAAGTCTAATGGTATGATGGCGCAGTATTATTGAGAGAATACAATATGTATATACAATGTTATGTACAAGCAATACTGTTTAACACCTCATTTGATTTCTCTCTGAGTATCTAGTTTTCTTATATCCTGTTTTTCAGATGCATCCAGAGCTCTCCCAGAGTTCCCAGACATTGACCTCCAGGGGAAGTCTCTGCCAGAGGGCATCGAGCTGGAGCACATAAAGAGCTTTCAGCTGCTGTACAGAGAACACTGTGAGGTAATCGACTGAAAGGACACTGGTTAGCTGGTTGCCTCCCATTGAGTGTTTATGAGGTTGACCTTTCTATCCATTTGTCATTGGGTCAGTAGAGCTCTAGTTTAAATCGAAGTAGACCAGTTGTAACTTACATAAGGTAGGACAATACAGTTGCACTTTATTTGGATTGCCAGCCTACAGACAGTTATAAATACTGTAGGCGGACTCTCCAAACAATACAAGTACAATACAAACTAGAGGTTTCATGGGGTGGGTTTCAAAACACTCAGCCAACATCAAAAGTTAAGTCCAGTCCTCACATTGTGAGAGTCTCATCTTTTGATTATTTGTATGTGCTTAGTCATTCATTATCAGCCAATAATGTATGAGATATTTTCTGTGTGTTCTTTCAGGCCATTCTGGATGTGATGGTCAACTTGCAGTTTACCCTGGTGGAAACACTGTGGAAGACCTTCTGGAGGTTCAGCCAGAGTCAGGCTGGAGATGCCACGTTGGCTGTGTGAGTGCTTAAGTCTTGGCAAACACTGTCCTGAACACAATAAGAAATTATCTTATTGCTTTAGCAGCACTGTTTTCATAGAAACTGTGTGTGTCTTGGCAGTCATGATGAGTCAGAGAAGCGTCTCCCTAAATCCTGCCTGGTGTTGCTGTGCAAGTATGAGCCAGTGCTGCGCTGGAGCCGTGATTGTGACAACAGCCTGTACCAGGGCCTGGTGGAGATCCTCATCCCTGATGTCCTCAGGCCCATCCCCAGTAAGACCCTACAATAAGTATGAATATGCAGTAAAACACCTTGACCTTCCAACTCCCACAGAAAAACTATTTAATGCAGCTTCCAGTTGGCATTAATGCATATATGTGCATACCCACACTAAATGTCGATACAAATATCCCAATTAAGAGCTCCTCTTAAGCCTAAGAGTCAACTGGAACTATTTAGAATGAGAGAGCAGAGGTAATACTGACATTTCACATGTGCAAACAAGTCTACATGTTCTTCAATATACTGTTCTTCAGTTGAAATTGACTTACTGGTATTTACACTCATTTGTTTTTGTTTCAGTTTCAATTTTAGTCTGACTTCAAAGTAATTACTTTGTACACTGCTGTGAGGAAGAACCTTTCCTTTAATCCTCCTGCACAAGTGCTACAGACATGTTTCCCATGTCCTGGGTCTTTGTCTCAAATGCAAATTGAAATCACATTGGAAATCTGGTTATTTATATACAGTACATGGCCAAGAAATTTGTTCATCCAGCAGAGACTTGGCTATGTGAACCAGGTGTTGCATAACCATTTACCCTGGTACATTCTCATGGAATAAGGAAATGGAAATTTACTCTGAAATGACCAGAATAACATTTCTTGTCACCAAGGTGCCTTAACTCAAGCCATCCGCAACTTTGCCAAGAGCCTGGAGAGCTGGCTGACCAACGCCATGATGAACATCCCGGAGGAAATGGTTCGCATCAAGGTATACTCCTCTTGTATTAGCTTGCAGTTGGTGGAACAACATGTTTTTTCGGAGCCATATATTTTTGATGTCTGACCCATCATTCTCCTCCTTATGCTCTCTCAGGTAACTTCAGCCAATGCATTTGCTCAGACACTGCGTCGCTACACCAGTCTGAACCACCTTGCCCAGGCGGCCCGAGCTGTCCTCCAGAACACAGCTCAGATCAACCAGATGCTCTCTGACCTCAACCGTGTTGACTTTGCTAACGTCCAGGTTAGTTTAGTCTCTGAATGCTGTGTGTGCTGGCAGCATTCATGCCACCGCACATGAATTTCAGTGCTTGAGGTTGCATCACCCCGCTGCCCTTTACTGATTCAACTAATGCCATATGCAGCTGGCTCCTACTGACACGTTACCTCCATCCTGTCCGCCTTTTGCAGGAGCAGGCTTCATGGGTGTGCCGGTGTGAAGACCGGGTTGTCCAGCGGCTGGAGCAGGACTTCAAGCTGACCCTTCAGCAGCAGAACTCCCTGGAGCAGTGGGCTGCATGGCTGGATGGTGTGGTCTCCCAGGTCCTAAAGCCGTACCAGCACAGCCCCGCCTTCCCTAAGGCCGCCAAGCTCTTCCTGCTCAAGTGGTCCTTTTACAGGTGTGATGGGAGAGTCAGCTACAAGATTTTCTCTCTTCTTCATGTCACAACCTTAAAGTCACTAAAATCACGAAACAGAATGGCACAAATTTGTTATCCTGATATATGAGTCTTTCTATTTTCAACCATTTTTTTTACTGTAGACTGAGCAATCAATCAATCAGTTTAGTTGCAGCCCTAGTAACAAAATAGCCAAAATCATTTTTAGCATCAGTTTAATTGCCATCAGTTTAATTTCACATTTTCAGCTGAAATAAAGGATTCAAAGAAACCAGCGACTAAAATGGAACACAGATCAGCACTGAGTTGACTCATTCTTTGTCACAATACAGCGCTGAGAAACACTTCTTGTTTGTGGTTACAGAAGATGTGATATAGTAACCGAAAATATGTGTCACAATTTCCTCATTCCCACTATCTCTGCTCTCCAGTTCCATGGTGATCAGGGACCTAACCCTGCGGAGTGCAGCCAGTTTTGGTTCCTTTCATCTGATCCGCCTGCTGTATGACGAGTACATGTACTACCTGATAGAGCATAGAGTAGCCCAGGCTAAAGGAGAGACCCCCATTGCTGTCATGGGAGAGGTACCATTACACACACACATAAATGAAATAAACAATGCAAGCCATATTTACAGCACTAACACATTCCCCTCTTGCCATTAGTTTGCCAGTTTAGGCCGGGGTTTAAACCAGCTGGACCCTGACAAAGGTACTTCCACTCTGCACCGTGTTTTTTACTGTATCTCAGACTAACTACGGTCATGTTCCAAGCTTTGTTTGTAACCAACTCCTTTATCCTTGTCTATGCCAGAAGAGGATGAGGAAGAGGAGGACGAGAGTGATGAGGAGGGTCAGGAGCTGTCCCTTCCCTCAGATGGGGCCGTACTAGGAGAGGAGTCTCTGGAGCCTCCTGCCAAGCTCGCCAGAACCGACCAGAGAGTCCTCTTCACCACCGGGTCAGCTGACAACTAACCACAGAGTAACACTGCTAGATGTGGGTTGATTATATCATAGATCATAAACACACACACACACACACACACAAACACGTACACATAATGTAAAAAAAAAAAAAACACTAATTTATACTCTTGACACTTGTATATAGATCTTGTAAATGTGTGTGCACACTCTCGCTGCATACTGTAACTGTCCCACTTGTTTACGACACACACAAACAAGCACACACACACACACACACACACACACACACACACACACAATAAAAACACACACTCATTCAGTAACTGCTGCTGCCTGGATGGCACAACCACCTGTTGGCACCATTGATTCATTACAAAATCATTGGCATTGCAATAGGATGTGGCTTCAAAAACCAGACTCTCTCGATGCAAAGAGAAACACAGAGCATTTTAACCTTCAGTTGTATGGATTTGTAAAAAATGAACTAGAGCCAGGCATGCGTGTGTTTTTTGTTTTTTTTCTCTCATTGCATTGCAACCTGTAGCCTCGCTGTCTCCTCATTGAGAAAGTTATGCTCACTCTAGATCCTCCTGAAACTGTCACTGCCGTATCAAAGTGATCTTGACAATACTGTGATGTGTGTGTGTGTGTGTAAAGGTAACTTCTACGGGGAGAGGGAGGGGTGGGCCTTTTATAGTAAGTGGTTGCTGAATTTAGTTGTTACTAATTCATTCATAAGGTAAGAGACATTTGTTAATGACAGCAGACGGATGGACTCATGGGTGGATTTGTTTTGTTTGTGTGTGTGTGTGTGTGTGTGTGTGAGAGAGAGAGTGTGTGAGAGTGTGTGTGAGAGTGTGTTTTTCTGTCTTGCTTGTAGGAGCACTGGGGTCTCATTGCTCTGCTCCTACTTCTGGAAGCTGACTGAACATTGCTTCTCCATGATGGTGTATGTTTATTTGTGTGTCTGGTTGTGTGATTGTGAGTCATGCCAAGTGTTGACTGTTTTCTTCTGTAGATATTTTCTAAGGCATTCAAAGGTTTTGATTCGGGAGACGTGTGTAGATTCTCCGTTTGATTTTATTCGCCTGTAAAGAAAATGTTGTGTTCTTGGAGTGCCTGTCGCAGCTGCTACACACACTTGTAAAGATAAAGCTACAGCTGTGGAATAGGGGCTCCCATTAGTTGCTGCAAAAAATCCTCTCTCTTTTATTGAACATCTGGTTCCATGAGAGAGGTACTGTATGTGTCATATATTTAAAGTGCTTCATTCCTGTCCATTCCAAGTTCCTCTGTTGCCTCATTTTCCTTTGACATATCATTTTCTTGCCTTATTTCAATATGTTTTTCCATGTGTTTGCCAAACCTGTTTGCTTTGATTCTAGATCCTGTTGTTTTTAAATTCTCTCTCTATGTTTTAAGGAGGACTGTGCCTGAGTAAGAACGGTGATATACTTATATTCTACTGTATATTTATCCACTATTTTGAATTTTGTTGTCACTAAGTGAACCTCTTGTGCCGTGTATGGTGCTGTGTCGTCACACATTGTAAGCAACCTTTGCGTGCATTATTGATTTGTGATTGTACGTTCAGTTATCAATCCTATTTCATACCTGATGACTTTTTCCACAAACAGGCTAAGGCCCTGCCTCTTTGCACATATTGACTGTTGTCTTTAAAACTCCAAGAGAGTTAGTCTGAAATGTTTTTCATTTTCTTTGAAGTCTTAGGTGTTTTTAATGGTGGGGTGCAGGTGTCAGATTTCTCGCACCACTCTGTGTGGTTCAGAGAATTTGGTGAGAAGTGAGAGATCTGAATGCTCTTTCTGCACAGTCCTCCACTGATGCTCATCTCCCCTGTCTCACTGCGTTTCCGCCCTCCTGCCAATGGCTTTGTTTTGCTTCAAACATCCATATTCTTAAACACTGTTCATCAAGATTGGTTGTTGCAAACATGTCATTTTTGGATTTTTAAATACAGTGTCTTTTAAATAGCTGCAGTGCACATGTCTTCAATGAGCACTGCCAGCCTCAAGCCAGCACATCATCCTTTATATGGAGTCTAATGCTACCACAGCTGAGTACATATCACTCCAGTCTTTTAATGATCTACAGCATATAGAATGGCCATTGTTTACCCATTAAGAAAAATGTTAAGTCATTTTTTATAGTGCATTGTTTCTTATGTACAAAACAAATTGAGAAAAAAAAGATGTTCAGTGGCAGTGTTTTATGAATTTGGTCTGCTATAAGTATGACTGTGCCTTTGGAGGTGGTAGAATGCAATTCAGATGTTTTTAATTTTAAAGATATAAATTAAAGAATTTTTAAAATTGCACTTGCATTCCCTGTTGTAGATTTATTTTCTCAGTCAGGAAGGCTGTGTTTTGAGACAGTAAAGTCATGTCTCAATACAGCAGGTAAAGTTTTTGTGGCTTACAGATAGACATACTGTGTCTGACATGCAGCCACAATCTTACACTTCTGTTTGATAAATAGGTTGACTTCCTGTGTTGTGCACACGCACACACACACACACACACACACGTCAGTAGTATTCTACCAAAAATGACAGTGGAACAGAAACTACGAATACCTTCAATCTGTTTTATGAAACTTAAAGTCAGTTTGCTTGTGCGGGAAACACTAACTGATCAATTGTATTTCCAGTTTTAACAATCAAATTGGAAAACTGAAAATACTTCATGCAAGAAAAACAGGTAAAAGTCAAAACAATAGACTCAAATGTACAAAATATTAAAAGTATACACAGTCACAGATTTTTGATTTATCTTGAGTGTGCATTCAGTTATCTTTTCCCAAAACAGATGAGCTTTAAAGAGATGTTTTAGCCCAATAAATGGGCTTTCATCATTTTCACAGTAGTCAGATTTCACCTGATGGCTAATAATGACATCTAGTGGTGATTTATCTCAACTGTGCTTCTGTTATTGTCTGGCTACAACAGGCTATACTGTGTGTTAAGGAACAAGCAAGACAAGAAAATGTATAACACATTTTAAAGTTACTGACATATGCCCCTTTTTAATTCAGAGTATTGCTGCTGGTGGTCATTTATTAACAATATCAACACTGCTGCCAAAGGCAGGCTCACAGCTGCCGTTCAGAATACAAGAATCATACCTGATACATCTCTGTAAGTCAAAACCAACAGCCTGTTATATTGCTGAATATATGTACATATACAATATATCTTAAAGTGGGACACATTGGAAGACTAAATTTCATTCTTTTGCACACAAACAATGACTGTGAGAAGGCAAAAGATCATCAGACTCGTGTTGGCATCCATAAAAAAAGTAAAAAGCAATGACATGCATCCTTGAGATGAAACAAAATCACAGCATGGATTGGATGGTTTGAGTGTAGCCTTATGTGACATGTTCCCATTGCAGAAGAACCTGCAGATGTGTGAACTACATGTAAAACATTACACTTACACAAGTCACTACATGAAAAAGACAGATGCAGTTGCTTGAAGATGAATGCCCACTAGAAAGTCTGACAATCACTTTAGAGTTTTCCAAGCAATATGGAACACCAAGCTGGCCAAATATAAAATGTATGTTTTTCTCTGCATTTTGGCCTTCCACCCACAGTAAGCCGGTGTTTCTTGTTAGAACCCAGAATGGACCTTTGAAGAAGCAGAAGAGGTGCGTAAACTGCAGATGGACATTTGATAAAAATGCAAAAACAAACTGAGGCAAAGAGAAAAGTCTTGAATCATGGCAACATGAACCAAGCATCCTACTTTAGCATAATTCCTGCAACCTATGTGTAATTTAAAAAAAAAAACATGTCATTCTATCTTTGAGGACACCAGGATTAAGTCCAGTAGCTTTCATTGCCTCCCCAAGTAAAACATCTTCATAAAAACCATTAAATGCTTATGTGAACATCTGAAGTAGAACCAGATTTTCACACTTCAACCCTAAAAAAAAAACCGCATGGCTTTATAACTTGGAGAACACTTTCACATCATTACACACAGTTAAGGACTTTTATTCACCAGTAGAAGGCCGACTGAAGCTGTTCTGCAAGTAAAGGGTGGCCCTGCTCTTTATTACCTGTTTTTTCATCTACCTCTACCAACTTTGAACAATTATTAGTCATCCCACATGCATTATCCAACACTGTAGAGAGGAAATCTACTACTACACCGTAAAACCGTTTCACTCATACAAAGTACTGTAGGTGAACACTTTCATAAACAAAAGAAATATAAATCCAGTTACACCATGCAAGCCTCACCAGAGAGAATGTGATAATTAAAACAAAACATCAAAACACTCAGCAAACAAATGAGCTTTAAAATGTATTTCTCTGATTTATTACCTGTACCAGATACACAATATGATTATAGTTCTAATAGCTCTGTGCAATTCAGTAAATATAACACTGAGATATGAGGATTAGGGCTTTAAAAATGGTTCTGAGATGTCTTCAAAGATAATAAAAGAAAGATGAGACAGATGTATTGGCGTTTCAAGGCTTCCATTGTTTATAAGGGCATATATAAATGTATGCAGAGGCATTGAGAAGCTTTGTGTACCTGCCATGATGGGATCATCAGTCTTATCCCTCCCCTCAGGAGCAAAGCACTAGAACGTCTGTTCAGTTCACATTTTTATTAAAAAGTATCCAGGTGATGTTTGGTGGTGAGGAAGGGTTTTTACTTCCACTCAGAAACAAAAAACAAAAGTCAAACTTAACAGCATAGATCCTGAAGTTCAGGGTTGTCCTCTTGATCCTGTCTTCTTGATTCTCTCCAGGATCAGATCTTCTGCTATGAACTCTCACTGCGTCTAAAATGCAAACGGTTGAAACCAGTGAAAGATCAGCTTCTTACTACAAATTGTAAATGTGTGACTTTCAAATATAAATAAAATGGAAATCTCAAACTCTGAGATGCAGCATACAGAATGATACCAAAGAGACATGATGAAAACCTCACTGCAGCCTCTGTACCAACCTGTCCTTGCTGGGGAGTGGCTGGCTGGCCTGGAGCCTGTCCTGTCTGTCCATAGTACGCAGCCTGCTGCCTGTAGTATTCCGCCCAGGCTGCGCTGTAGTCTGGCTGGCCTCCCGTTGTGGATGCTGCTCCCCC